CTCGTCCAGTCCACCAGCCTGAAAGCATCCCCCACCTCAGAGTCCGCTTCTTTGACACCTTCCAGATCGATCAGCACAAAGTTTCCATCGTGGCTATAGTCGACGCAAATGACATTCTCGAGGCGCACATCCCTGTGGACGAGTCCTGGAAGATATACAGAAGAAAAACAAGTTAGAGAGAGAGAAACGGATGACAAAACCTTGAGAGTGGAGAGCATCCAGCGCTGACAAAACGTCTCGGCCGAGCCACTTCAGCTCCTGTTCCGTGCTGATCATGACTCTGCCACCGATAGGAGAGAGAAGAACTTCGTATACACCATCCTCTCGCAAGGTCGGGCTACCACACGCCGACACCAAGTGCGGACACCGAAATCTGGTGGTGCAATATGCTCTCTTGACATCCACAAAGTTTACTTCCATCTGAGCAGCGTAGGTTTCCCAATCACGTATTTTCTTGCGGCAGCTATCTCTGAACAAAACAACCTTGGACTGGTTCTTTAACACGGTTGTATGGAACAATTGCGTCCTGAAAAAAAAACTCATGAAGCCATCAATGATGCACTTCGTTGCAAAGTACCTCCTTTCAGTTCTTAAGGAACCTTGTGTGCCGAGCAGCAGAAAGTAGAGCTTTATGTGCACAAGAATCACCTTGGCGCGATCTTCAGCTCTGGACATATCATACGGCCCCGCCAGGTGCCGAGCAGCATCCTACAAGCAAAAAGGAAAGACTTTTAGTGGCAGTTCAAAGTTTTGAGGAACTGTACCTGACCGGAGGTGTCTCTGATGTAAAAACGCAGCTCATTTCCAGCCCTTGCAATGCAGACTACAAATCTCACGTCGCCATAGATGAAAGCCGGTGGAAGCTCGATCGCTGACAAGTCGAAGGGTGCAACAATGATGTCCCAACTCGAATCTTTTAGCTTGCCCAAGAAACAAGGCGTCCCGTCCACCTCCACCCGATAACAAGCCCTCCTTTGCTTCGCAAAACTAGGAATACATGGGGGAAAAACCTTGTTTCTGTCAGCTGACATGGTAGAACGCAGTCTTTTGTCTCCTGGGGCACTCTCTGTAAGCCTCCGAAGTATCTGGTAAAACGGCAGTGTATCAGCGAACACAACCAAGTCATCTTGCCCGTCTGGCTTCAACATCTGAATGGTGCTTGCGATGGAAACTGCGAAGCTGCTTGGGCTGTAAAAGAACTCTTTTGTTGGTGGAGCGCAGCAGCAAGGAACCTTTCCCAAAAGACTGCCGATGTCAAGCAAGAAGTCACGAATCCCCTCCCAAGTGTTCGAGCTAGAAACGTTGAACGCGTCACAAGCCTGAAAAATACTTCCAATCTCCTCGGTGCTTGTGTCCACAAGCACCCCTGCGAATCACGAAAACGAAGAACCTGTAAATGGTGGATGGATGAAAATCTCGACAGGCTCACTCACCCCTCCTACTGAATCTGAATCTGGATCTATCCGAAATCGTGAAGGGTCTCTCTCTCGAGCCATCTTCGAAAGGTTGGCCGTGGCTTTTGATGAGAGGAACAGTGTAGAGTTGCGCTGGCGGCGATGAGATGGGAATACCGCAGAGGAAGACTTCGTGCATTAGAGGATCCAGGTCGAATCGGCGACAGAGCTCGTCAAGAGTGAAAACTTTATCCACTTCGACCGGCGTTGTCTCACCCCCGTATCGCAGCCACACGAGAACGTTGGCGACTAGCGCAAACGGCTTCTCAGAGGATCCGGTCTGGCCCCGAGAGGCGCCCTTATACCGGAGGATGTCGAGACACAGAGATCCCCACGAGCTCGACGCATTCTGCCCGCATATCGTGAGCATCGCCTCAGCGTCCAGATCGAAGGCAGCACACACATCCTCGGTGTGGAGGAGGCCGTCTTGCCCCACCCGGACGCTCCTCAACAGGCCGCAGTGAGCAATCCAAATCTCCTCCTCCTCCATCCCTAAACCTTTTTAGATTTTCGTATGCATGGGCTAGACTTTACGATCAAGGATGAATGAGTATGGAAATACCAATCATATCTCTCTCTTGGTTGCAGGTCACTCTTATCATCGCCACCTTGCTTTGTCACGGGGATGTATGGGCGTGCGATCCCTAGGGACTGTACAAGCTATACCGCATAAACATGAAACTTCAAAGCATCATCCTCCTTAGTAAGTAGTTTGTTCAAACTTAAAAAAGTTGTGGCAGTCAAATTGCTGAGTGGGAAGCTTATTCACGGCATTTGTGCCACGATGATGGTAGAGAGGCTGTTATGCGCCATAGGGTTCTTGACGCTGTTGGCTACCGCCCAGATCACGAGGTACAATGCTAGCTTGGGTAGTGTTTGGATCAATCAACCTGGAAATGGTAGCTTCGTCTACTTGAATCAGAGCGGCTCAACTGTAAGCTACATGCTCATCTTGGTTCGAGGGAACTTTGGGTGTGGTTTCTATGGGAACTCGAGCTCCTTCGTGTTTGGAGTGGTAATTTTTCGCGAGAGCTCGGCACAGGTAGTGTGGTCAGCCAATGGAAACAATCCGGTTGGAGAGAACAGCACGCTGACACTTAATGGAGATGGGGTGCTCATGATCCTGGACGAAACAGGAAGAATTGTGTGGAACACACCACCAAACTTACAGGTCCAGGCGATGGAGCTCCAAGCATCGGGCAACTTGGTGCTTCAGTCAAATAGCTCTTCCACTCTCTGGCAGAGTTTTGCATCTCCGGGGGATACTCTCGTCGAGGGACAGGCTTTAAGAGCAGGATGGAGGATGAGCTCTTTGGGTGACGATTACTCGCTAGAGCTGACCAGGGAGGAGCTAAAGATGACACACAACAGTGTCAGATCTATTACATACTGGTCGAGGAATGCCTCGACTCTTGGCTCGTTCATACCTTACATGATCTACACAGGAGGGAGCATTCTCCTGTTTGTCACGAGGGAGTCAGACGAGAGCTTCGCAAGGAATGGCACTCTTAGCGACGAAGTCATCAGGATTCCATTCCCAACACGCCAGGAGCAGTCTTTGCGGTATCTCAGGCTCGACTCGGATGGAAACTTGAGGTTATATGAGCTCCTTGGCAACCAGTGGACTGCAACTCGGTCACTTCTCAGCGAGGAAGAGTGCGAGCTTCCCAGCACTTGTGGGGATTACGCGTTCTGTACTAGAGGTGGGAACTGCCAGTGTTTGAATCTTGCAGAAGAACTTAGGAGAGTGAATGCTCAGACATGCGAACTTCGCTCTCCATTTACTTGTGATGCCAACAACACGAATAGGAGTACCCGTCTTGTCGATGCAAGGCAAGACATAGCAGTTCCGGTTAGCTTGGCGACAACAGTACGATCGAATGTCTCGCGAGACATCTGCTTACAAAGCTGTGCTATGGAGTGCACCTGCAAATTTGCACTCTATGCTTTTCAAGGAGGGGACTGTTTAATACTCGACCATGCATCGGGTTTCAGAGAAGCATCAATAGCAAGCAACCGAACTGTGTCGTTGAAGTTGTTCCTGAAAGTGGAGGACTCTGAAAAATCGAAACTCTCCAAGGTTCTACTCAGCATTTTAGTGCCGGTTGGAGCTGCCTTGATTGCCATCGTCCTCGTTTCCCTCTACATTTACAACCAGAAAAGCAAGTCTCGAGCTTCGATGGAGCTTCAAGAGCTGGAAACCGGCCAACTCAAACGTTTTTCGTACAAGCAGCTGGAGCATGCCACGAACAACTTTGGCAAGAAACTCGGGCAAGGTGGATTCGGGTCGGTTTTCCTTGCAACGCTCAACGATGGCTCCCAAGTCGCAGTGAAGCGCCTCGAGAGCTCGAGTCAGGGACAGAAGGAATTCAAGACGGAAGTGAACGTCATTAGCAGTATCCACCACTTCAATCTGGTCCGGCTCCGGGGATTCTGTGCTGAGAAACACCACAGGCTCCTGGTGTACGAGTACATGCCTCGACGTTCTTTAGACAAATGGCTCTTTCTTCGTGACTTCCCAAGCGATGGTGATCACGAGAAAGCTGGCGAAGCGCTCGACTGGAAGACAAGGCTCCGGATCGCTCTGGGAATTGCAAGAGGGCTCAAGTACCTGCATGACGACTGCAGCGAGCGGATCCTCCATCTGGACGTGAAGCCCCAGAACGTCTTGCTCGACAGCAACTTTGATGCCAAGCTCTGCGACTTTGGCATGTCCAAGCTCATGAAGCGCAATGAGTCAGAGGTCTTCACGATGATGCGAGGAACTCGAGGCTACCTGGCTCCGGAGTGGCTCCAGTCCACCATCACCGAGCGAGTCGACGTCTACAGCTTTGGGATCGTGCTGCTCGAGATTGTGAGCGGGCAGAGGTGCCTGGGGAACTCGAGGGCCGAGACGAGCACGCAGTACTTCCCGAACTGGGCGAGCTCTCGCATCTGCCGGGGCCAGATCATGGAGATTGCCGACTCAAGCCTTCACGGAGAGCTCCAGAGCGGGATGGTGGCCCTGTGGGAGCAAGTGGAGCTCGTCATCTACACGGCAATGTGGTGCATCCAAGAGGATTCAGCGCAGCGTCCGTCTATGGAAATGGTAATCCGGATGCTCGAGGGGCGAGTGAGCGTCTCAAAGCCTCCAAACTTTCTCCTTTGAAATCTTTCCACCACATGTTTTGGTTGTCACTCTTTGTTCGTAAGTTGTCATCTGGAGATGACAAGAGGCAAACAGCTTTGAAGCAATCAGTACTGAGATTCAAGTCCTCCTTGCAGATCCTGCCGGAAACAGTCCAGGTCTGCCAGGTTTGATCAGGACCAATCTTGGTAGCATGCTCTGCTCTAACCCCGTCCGCTACATGAAGATTCATGCTCAATCTTCTTCGTAGCGGGCTGGTCTTCTCCATCTGCTTGAACTTCTCCCGTGACGGGCCACCCAAAGTCTCAAACAAGTTGTCTTCTCTGAAAGGCCCGATGACTTTCTTACAACTCGAGGGTGGAAACTTCAATTTTTTGACCTTTTTTGCTGGCTTCTAGATCGAGCGCTTTCCCTTGCTAGAATCGCTGAAGAGAAATATTCCGATAGAAAATGTGGAGAAACATACTTACAAGTTGAGGATAACGGTCAGTCATCGTCTTCTAGCTTTGCTCCTTTCCGTTTTGATCTGGAACAGACGTGAGTATAGATTGAGAATGGGCGAGAGCGTACCTGGAAGATATGGGTGCAACCTTGCGTTTTGTCTTGGCTTTAGTGCGTTCTACCTCGCCTCCAGCTAAACAAGAAACAAAGAAAAGAGTTTTAAAGGAGTAAAAAGCACACACTTACTAGCTTGATTTGTTCCAGAGCTAGACTGCGAGGCCATGGCGAGTTCCTTGGAGTTAGCCTTTTTCTTCTTTCCGCCGGGGTTCATCTCATCAAGCTTCTCCTCCAGCATCGACGTTTTCAGCTGCGAAAGATCGTGCGAGAGATCATCCGGCGAGATGATAACACTGTCTACCTTTTCAGCCTCTAGTTCCATCCGGCACCTTGCAGCCTCGGCCTTCTCTTAGAGAACAAAACACACAGTAAGCTTCCACTGGACGATGATAGACACGCAATTCACGAAGCAAGACAAAAAAGAAAAAAAGAGCTTTACCATTTGCTAGAGATTTGAGCAAGCTCCGCCAGCTGCTGCAAGCGTCGACGGCAACATCCGCCATGCGATCGCTGGCATCGGTGGCTCTCACGAGTCCAATTGAGACACGAGGCATTCCTTTAGCTTTCAAAGCCACGATTCTCCCAGAAGTCGCCCCTGGAAAACGAAGAAAAAGGTAACGAGAGGACAAACTCTCGGCCAAGAACGTTACCACGACCAGCAAGCGCGGACGCGGGACCTCCCAAAACCAGAGTCACATTTCCGGACGAGAACGCGGCACCGATGTAGCTCACGAATTCACTCCACGCTCCACCGATCCCAACCTCGTCTCGCTACAACACCAGGAGACTGTAGAAGTTCCGTGAGAAATGCTTACCAGGTCTTCCAGCTGCTGGATGCTTCGAGTGGCCTCCCAGGTATTGTCGTGGAAATCCGAGACGACGAAGTCGAGAGTGCGAGCGTCCCGCGCGCGCAGCCGAAAGGCGAGAGGGAGGAAGGCGGAGGATTCCCGACCCTCTACCTTGCCACTGGCGACGCCAAACACCGGCTCCAAGAGCTCCAAGTCCTCCATCCCTCTCCAGCCCTAAATTTTCCTATTTGAAAGCTTAGGCCATGACTGTCTCTTCTGTGCTTCGTTCGCCACACTCATTTAAGGTGGTGAGCCATGAACCAAGGACTCTTGCATTGTTAACCGAGCTCCATCAAATACATTAGATATCAAATTAATGGTTACAACAGCTGGCCAGAAATTGTTTTATGCTTATTTGAGAAAATATTATATACCACTGAATTATTTTGAGTGAATTTGTAAACCATTTGCTTATTTGAGAAAATATTATATACCACTGAATTATTTTGAGTGAATTTGTAAGCCATTTATCATGTTATGTCTTTCACAGCGGAGGGGCTTCAAGACGCAAATAGTCGTACATAACCCCGTTAAATACGCTGGCGTATTTTCTCTGTGTGAGGTAGATGATATTCTCTCCCTCCTTGAGGAGCTTCGACTCGACATCGATGCTCCACATCGCGTACAAGCCGTGGATCCCATGGCGAGCTATGGCATTGTCCTTGCCAAACTGGAGTGTGTCAAAATGTGGAGTGTAAAGCGTTGGATCGTTCACCCGAACCTGCGACACCTCCACTGTGTTTCATAAAAAGGAAGTCAATATACTCGTGAAGAACCTGAAGAGCAGCGTTGGTTGCGGCTGCTATTGCTAGTTGTAGCGTGTAGGTTCCCACTAGAGCGACCTTGTCAAGTTGGAACTTGATCTTCCAAGTTGATGCTTTCAAGTTTCCATCTTTCGACTTCCTGGATGGAAACACAAAAAGAAAAACCTTTGGTGCGAAAGAACATGTCCATAGAAATGAAAATTTACCAGCATCCCTGTAAGAAAAACCAGTCGGTTTGCCATTTGCTCTCGCCAACAGTGTATACAACCTCGGTCTCCGGGTAAAGCTCGAAGTATCTTTCCCACAATCCATACTGTCTAAACCTGTGTGTAGAGCAAAACAACAAATTATATAAAAGAATTGCGTAGAAACGCATGCCTGTCAGCTGTGCTGTTCACAAAAGCTCTGTTGACGAAGCCTGGATCAGGATCCGGTATGTAAAACTCAACAGCCGATCGATCAGGAACTCCAATCTCCCAAATTGTAGGACCGTTCCTTGGAGGATTGAAGACAAGTTCTCCGAGCTCCAAGGAAGAACCTGCGAGATTCATTATTCCTGCCTGTTACAAGAAACAACACAATATCTTTTTACCTTCGTGCACTGTAACGTCGGCTTCCATTTTGTAATCTCCCAGAACACCAGGAACGTAGCCAAAGAGGTTGTATGTCCCGGGAATAACATTATGGATCATAAAACTGCCACTGGCATCTGCTTCGGCCCAGAATTGATACCCCTGTGCATTCCAACGAATATTAAAGTCTTAGAGAGCAAAGCTACTGCTAAATACCTTGCTTTCGGTTTGCCATGATCCAGCATTCCCCGGTTTTGCGAGACCAATCCACGCAAGCGACGCAGGAACTTGAGGGTCCGCGTATCTGCAGTGTAAGTAAAGAGAGCCTGTGAAGAAAGACACACCATGTATAAAAGGCAATACTTGTCATAAACTAGCAGTCGTCCAGAAACAGAGCCACGCTCATCATCCTTCACGTAATCTGGTGAGGCAGGCCAGCTATATGGCCAGGAATGAGCCTCCACAAGCATCTGAAACAAAAGAAAATGAATAAAAATTTAGAAAAAAATTCTTACGTTTGATACCTGCTGCTTTGCATCGTCCCACAGATAACGAGGGTCCAAGTTCGCTTGAGCTGAATTCAAGTAGATGAAAACTGGTCCAAATACTTTCAGCCAAGGCTCTCCATCTCGAAAAGAAGGACACAATGCTTCCCCTGCGTAGTGAGCGCTGTGAAACATCTAGCAGGCAAACACTCGTCAGTGAGAAGAAAAAACTTTCTGGTAGGATCGAGAAAGAGCTCACTTACAGAAAGAGCAGTGGGTCCTGCATGCGAGCGCAAGTTTTGCTTCAGCGGGCCACCATTTCGAAACTCGTCACTGGCTGTGATGATCCAAAAACCAACGAGTGGATTCGTAGAAACCCAGCCATGCACCACATTGTCCTTGTTTTCAGCAGAGTACTGGTACTTGTCATCCACCTGCGAAGGTAAGCAAATCAGTCTTAGCTTCTGAAAAGCAGAGCACCATAGTTACAAACCTCTCCCTTGAGCGCCGAATTATGCGGGTCTTCCAGGATCACAGCTTCAGGATAGGCGAGTGCTTTGCTACGTTCAGGTGATCGGTCACTAGATGTCGGCATTTGTCGGAACACAGTGTCGGAAACAGCCATATATTCGAATCTGCAAAACCGCGAGAGGAAGGAAAAAAACTGTGAGGCTTCTTAAAAGTTGCTCTTGTGAACCTGTCACTCCGTGGCTTAAACGTGATACGGCATTGGTTCATGTTGAAATCGGGCCAGCCTTCGGGCCTCTCAAAAATGGCATAGCTATAAAATCCCGTGTTACCCCGAAGAAGCACGAACCTGCACAGATTAAACGAGTTCATGTCCACCTTTTGAAGTATGGAAGTATGTATAAAATTTCATACCTCTTGTCGATTTGAAGAGGAACCATACTTCGGTCGGAGACATATGGACGAAGAAAAGAGACCTCGATTTTGTTGCCATCGCTAGAAATAACACGAAAGCTCGTAGCGTGGTGCCTGTGTTTTAAGCGTTAGATATCAAAAGTTCCACCGAGGTGGCCGATGTTCTTACACATCAAAGGTGTCCTTTCCTCCGGGGACGTTCCAATTCAGATCCCAGTAACTAAAGAAAAACACTGGCATCAATGGGAGAGATCTTTAGCTTTTAAGTTGGCAACCTCACCCTCGATTTGTTTCAGCATTGGCAACTTCTAGCAGATTGTCGATGCCTCCGTAAGAAATAGACGTGATCAACCCCCCGGGACTCGTCAGTGTGATGCGAACAATTCCATTGTCCAGGACAATCTGCAACAAAAGACGATACGTAGTAAGATAGCCTTGGCACGAAACACTTTCTCGAGCTCTCACGTATTTGCCTTTGTCGACGAGACGAACATCGGAGCCTCGCGATCCTCCTCCTTGTACACGACTGGAGAACATTTTCCTGGAACCGAATCCTCTGGGAAGAAAGAAAGAAAGATGGTCAAAACGAGCATCTAAAAAGCATAGCGAGAAAATCCATCTCGGGAAACCAAAACCACCAACGAGCTCTGGAAGAAATAAGCTTGGCGCGCTTTTACTCAAAGCGAAAGCTCTCTCTTCTTCTTCCTCAATCACTCTTTGGGCTTTTATAAGAGGCTGGAAACGCAAAGCTTGTCTTGGAAGAGAAGCCAAGATCGCTCGCTATAAGCTCCATCGCTCGCTGGCCGCAAAGAAACCTACCGATGATCGCGATAGCGCAGCAAAGATCACATTCACCCCGTCCTTCCATGGATGTGCCCGCATTGCCGTTTCTTGGCGCATCGCGATAACAACCTACCTCTAATCTAAAAATTCCCAATACAAAAACCCCACAAAACTTTCCACGTGAAAGCTCTTTCGCTCACAAAATAAGATCCAAGAAAGAAACAAAGAATTAAAACCGCTGCTGGAACTCTTGGAAAGTTTGGATAGCGAACGGATCAAACAGCCAAGAACTAACGCTTTCTATCGAGAAAGCTTAACTCTTACCCATTGGACGAGACGATCGCGACGATGAAAAAGTAGAGAATGGCGAGGTTCCATTTGTTCATGCTGCCAAGCCTCTAGCAACACCATTCCATGATCCACGGATCGCTTTAGCGGCTCCATGGCCTCTCGCTTAAATATTTCTAAACAATCCCTCCAAGTTCTCCACTAATTGTGCGTGAGCTCTCATTTTATAGCAAGCCACAGATATTCTACTTTTTTGAATTTTAGGGCTTTTTATGGATCGCTAACTGATTTTAGGGTTTTTTGGAAAATGCATGGAGCGCGGCAAATGGCTGGAGCTCGTGGAATCGTGCGCGGATCTGGCCGAGGCGAGGAGAATCCACGCGCGCATCCAATCGGTGGTGGCGCCCGACGATCTCTACGCGCGCAACCGGGTGATCGAGATGTTTGGGCGCTCCGGTGGCCCGATTGACGCGCAGGTGGTCTTCGAATCGATGCCTGCTAAGAACCTCTTCTCGTGGGTTCTCATGATCACGGCGTATGCGAGGAATGGTTGGCTCGAGAGCTCCAGATCCATCTTCGATGCGATGCCCCAGCGGAATCTCGTGGCATGGAATGCTATCGTGGCGGCGTATGCCTCGAATGGGCATCTGGATGGTTCTCAGAGGCTTTTCGATGAGATGCCCGAGCGGAACTTGGTTTCCTGGACATCGATTCTTGTCACGTACTCGCAAAGCGGGTGTTACGACGCGGCAAAGCGAGTGTTTGATGAGATGCCGCAGAGAAATTTGATCTCCTGGACCTCTATGCTTGCAGCAAATGCCAGGAGTGGGTATCTGGAAGAAGCCGAAAGAATATTTAGTGCCATGCCCCAGTGGGATGTGATAGCTTGGAATTGTCTTCTCGCTGTGTATTGTCAAAATCATGATGTTGAGAACGCAAAGAGATTTGTTAGGACTATGGTGGAGTGGGACATTACCTCGTGTAATATAATGCTTTTGCTATATGCCCAAGAAGGGCATTTTTGTAAGTGCAACAGATTTTTTTCTGACATGCCACAGACGGACATAGTGTCTTGGAACACTTATCTCGCCGTTTGCATGACTTTTCGGAAACTGGAGGAGGTTAAGTTTGTGTTTGATAATATGCCGCAGAGAGATGCATTTTCTTGGTCTTCCATGATCACAGCATATGCCCAAGAAGGGTATCTTGCAGAGGCGAGGGCGGTTTTTGATTCACTGCCTTTCCAATATCCAGTAGGAAGGACGTCAATCATGGTTGGTTATGCTCAAACTGGAAACCTTGATGCCGCTTACAAGATCTTCCAAGAGACACCACAGCGAGACCTGTTTGCATGGAATGCAATGCTCGCAATGTTTGCCCAAGACAGCGAGAAGCAAACCAAAACCAGAGGGATGCTTGACGAGCTCAAACTCACCGACAATCCAGACGAGTTCTGCTTCACGGCAGCACTGGTTTCGTGCAGCCACGGCGGGAAGGTTTCTCGAGCAAGGAGCTACTTGGCGTCGATGAGCTGTGACTATGGATTGCCTCCAACCAAGCTCCACTACAGCTGCATGGTGGATCTCCTGGGACGGGCTGGATATCTCCAAGACGCGTGCGAGCTCATGGAATCCATGCCTTTCACTGCCGAGGCATCGGATTGGATCGGCTTTGCGGGAGCTTGCAGCAGCCATAGCTCCCGCTTCCATGGATCGAAGCTCGCGCTTGGGTTGGATCCCAGCAACGCAACGGGGCACATCCTCGTCTCGAACATCCTGTGCATGGGCTGATTGACCTCTTGACTTGGTTTGACTGGTTTCAGAGGTTCTTCCACGGCTAGTCTTCAAGATGAGCTATCAAGTCCATGTAAGTTTCATTGTCCCTGTTCTTGGACCCCGTGTCAAACCCAAACCTGATAAGCAACCTCACCATCTTTCTGTTGTTCATGCCCAAGGCAATATCCATGCTTGAGTATCCTGCTTTCCTTCTCGTGTTTGGATTAGCACCGGCCAACAAAATGATCTCAGCAGTCTCAAAGTGGCTCCCGGAAACAGCTCTCATTAGCGGTGTTTGTGTGATCCATCCTTGTGTGTAGTTCGGGCCATCTACCGGAACACCTTTCTCCAGCAAATGTGATACTATTTCCGAGCTCCCAGTGGAAGCAAATCTTTCCAAGAGCTGTGGTGCCAAAGTTTTCCAGATCCCTGCTTTCTTCGTGATATCTTCAACCTTTTGGATCATCCCTATGCCTGGTTCCCATGATTCTTCCACAAAACTCTTCCCATCTAAGCAAAGCTTTGGGAGCTTTCTCTTGAGTAAACCAATATCAGCCTGTACTACAGCCTCGCAAACGTCGTAGAGAAGACAAGCTTGTCGGTCTTTCTTAGGTATGACTTCACCATCTGAATCGTCATCGAGATCAGGAAGCTCCTCAATGATCTTTGGCTCTTCCGAGCTATCATCCAATTCTTCATCTTCTTTCCAACCACCTTCTTTTACTTGGTCACTTTCCTCGCCATCTCTTGACTTTTCTGCTGCTCTGAGAAAGTCCACGACCTCCAAATTTCCTCGGTCTATAGCAGCCTCTAAAATCTGATCATGGCCACTTTGGCTGATCTTCTCCATTGCATACGCAGCCATTTCCTTACTCCCATGACCCGCTAAGAGCCCCCACAAATTGTTCTTGAAGACACTATGATCGTCGGTGCAAAACGAAACCATCATTCGAAATACCTCCTGGCTGTGTGCATTCCCTTCCTTAGAGCAAGCAAACCTCAGAGGCTCCATTCCACGAAGCCCAGACTCCACCAAGTGACCTCTCAAAAGTGCCAGCACGTATTCATAGTCCCGGAACTCGTGCCCAAAGTAACGAAGGCAGCCAAATTCGTGATTCTCAAATCGTTCCAGGACTTTGGGAGAGATCTGTTTCATACTTTCGCCATTACCTGTTTTGAGGAAGTAGCTTATCTCGAGAAGGCTCGTTGCAACGCTCAAGCTCCCATCATGCACAGCACAGTAGAAAAGCTCCTCGAGATAATCTGTGGTGTCCAGGTCGCGTGGCGTCGTCACAACACCCCCATGCTCGACGAGGAAGAACACCGCTTCGAGTTTCTGTCCTTGGAGGGCATAGTTGAGTGGTCTCCCTGCTACAGATGATTTCCTGTTTACTGTAGCATTCACGTAGTCACTGATCGTGCTTGCCTTGTTTAGCAAAAGCTTCATCATCTCCATCTTTCCCCGGAATGCCAACTTGTGAAACGGCTTAAGCTGTTCACTCCTTGACCAGGTATCGAAGTCCATGTTGATATCCTCGAGAAGAACCCGCAAGACTTCCAAGCTATCACCCTCGCATGCGTCGTGCATCAGCCATTCTTCCTGCGCAACTATAGCTCGCCACCTTTCGCCCAGAAATTTCAGCACGCCATGGCTCCCTGCTTTGACGCAGATGTGGCATAGTTGAGGCACTGCCTTCTTCGGATCAAAGTCCCAGGCTGCCTTGCCAATGATGAACTCTACACCCAGCTTGAAATCCAGCTGGCAAAAGATATCCACCAGCAAAGTTCCGTGAATGTCCACCATCATGTTCTTGGCTGGTTGCCGAGCTATGGCGTCTGGAACTTCGGGAAACCGCGCTTGAAGAACAGCTAGCATGTCTGTATAATCCTTGGAACTCGTAAATTCCTCATCCCAGCTGGAAGAACTGACTTTGCCACTGCTGCAAAGGTTGCTATAAGCTGCTCGGATGTGTACTAGGCATTCCTTTAGAGAAATCCTGTCGTCACGCTCCGCAGAGCAGCATCCATCGACCACGGCAAAGATCTCGTCGAAAACGCTCTCTTTTAGATCCTCCATGCCTTCTGGAAACTTGGAGCTCTATAGGAGACCCTCCCATATACTTGTTCATCACCAAGACCGAGTCCATGTACTCGGGTATCTCACCATCTATAGTCATTTCCACCAGAAGCATCCCCAGCGAGTAGACATCCGAAGGGAATGGATTCGCAAGAACTTCCGGAGGGATCTCGTCTACCGCCTCGTCCAGCTCTGGGGAGATCCAAAACGGTGATCCTCCTAGTGACCTCAAGTAGTCGACATCTTTCTTCCGGAAACTAAACCCAAAATCTATCAGCTTGGGAACCATGAACTCGTCGACCAGCACGTTCTTGCCTTTCAAATCCCCGTGATAAATACCCCGCTGGTGACAAATCGAGAGCCCAATCACGAGCTCCATGAAGATCTCCAGCTTTGTCTTCCACCAAGACCAAGAACACGACGATGGCTTCCCGGATCTCAGGAAAGAATTCAAGTCGGGACCTTGGACGAGCTCCATGACAATGCAAACGCTTTGCATTTCCCGGTTGTGTGTCACACCATAAACGCTTGCAACGTTCCTGGTTCCTTGCAGGATCCGCAGGCTGCTCGCTTCCCTGGTGAGATCTATCACCTCATCGTCGCTGCTGTGAATCGTCTTGACAGCCACGCTCACTGTTTCGTTGTCTCCCTCGCTGGGATTTGATCCGCTGCTGGAGGAGTTGTAGTAGTTATACGAGTCGAAAGGGTCGAAAACGCCTTCGATGCGTTTGGAGTCCCACACGCCTCTGTAGAGCTTGTGCTGGACGCCATAGCTGCGAGTGATGGTACCTTTGAAGATGCTGCCACAGCCGCCAGCGCCAATCTCTGTGAGCTTGCTAAACTCGAGCGTTTCCAGTCGATAAGTTTGGGAACTAGTATATAGATTACCAGCTATAGCGTTGTCTTTGTTCCAGACTACCTGGGCTTGCTCGTATCCAGTGCTCATCCTCTAGGAATGAAGTAGGGTTCCTACTCGCCGATGAGATCTAGGAGGAAGAATTCTAACTTTGACATTGCTTCTTTGACTAGAACTTTGACTAAAGCTTTGACTAATGTTTGACTGAGATTCTTCCAGTTCTTCACTAGGGCTCGAAGTAGTTTCAGGATGGAATCGTCGATGAGAAAGCTCCTGCCAAGCCCGCATCGCCGGACTGGGCTTCTCAAGGATCAGCTCCAACTTGTGCCGAGAAAGGGCGATGGCGGCCGCGAGGATCGCTACGAGATTGCGCCAATCTCCGACCCCCTCTCCTTCGACAAGGGCTTCTTTCTCTTCATCCGGGCGTGTCAGCTCCTCACGCGCAAGATGGAAGGAGTGACAATTGTGGTGGGAGTTGCCGGCCCCTCGGGCGCTGGTAAGACCGTCTTCACGGACAAGGTCGCGAGCTTCTTGCCCGGGATTGCGATCATTTGCATGGACAACTACAACGATTCCAGCCTTGTCATCGACGGGAACTACGATGGTAAGAATCCAAACAAGGTGTGTGTTGTTCTTTGTTCTTTCGTTTCTATTCGATAGTTTTGGTTGTTTTGCTTTCGTGCTGATAGATCCCAGGATCGTGGACTACGAAATTCTTCTAGACAACATCAAGAGCTTGAGAGCTGGGAACTCTGCCGACATTCCGATATATGACTTCAAGCTCAGTCGTCGAGTTGGCTATAGGTGAGTTGTCTTTCCTTCCTTTTTGCTCGCATTGGGATCAAGGACCAAGTATGTTCTTGCGTTGTTTCCAGGCGTCTGGAGCATCCATCGACGAGAATTGTGATCGTGGAAGGGATATATGCTTTGTGTGAGAAGCTACGTCCATTCCTGGATCTGCGTGTCTCTATAACCGGAGGAGTCCATTTTGATCTCGTCAAGCGGGTTCTCCGTGATATCAATCGCTCCGGCCAAGCTCCGGAAGACATCATCCACCAGATATCAGAAACGGTGATTTCGTATGTTCTTGTGAACAGCAGTGGTTTCATAATTCTCTCCTTTTCATCTCTTTGTTGTTTTTCGCACTTAACTTTGTGTCGTTGCCAGGTTTATCCCATGTACAAGGTGTTCATAGAGCCGGATCTAGCAACAGCACACATCAAAGTAGTCAACAAGTTTAATCCTTTCTTAGCTTTTTTGTTCTTGAGGTTTCTGTATCTCACCAAGTTTTGACAGATACAAGGCAAAGATCGATCGCTCGTCGCGGATATCGGGAAGAAGCTGGGGCTCGAAGGCTCGTACATTCCACGATCTTATATAGAACAAATACAACTGGAGAAACTCACTGCCGAAGTAGTGGTATGGAAAAGAATCGACGTGTTCTTCTCATCTCGATCGTCCAAACAGGCATTGCCGGAGGACCTCAAGAACAAATTAAGCCTGTAAACTACCACTGTTCCGGTAAGTCCAGTTTCATCCAAAACTTATAGCAGAAGGTATGAAGAAATTCTCGTTTTTCCAAGCTCAAAAACTTCCTTTTTTTCTACAGCTTGAGCTGGAATACCTCGAGGTTTGTCATTTTGTTTTTCTTCCGATCTCCAAAACACTCGATTCACAGAGTTAAGTGTTTGATTCGGTGGTGTCGCCCGACGGTCTCTACGCGCGCAACCGGGTGATCGAGATGTTTGGGCGCTCCGGTGATTGACCGATTGACGCGCAGGTGGTCTTCGAATCGATGCGTGCTAAGAACCTCTTCTCCTGGGTTCTCATGATCACGGCGTATGCGAGGAGTGGTTGGCTCGAGAGCTCCAGATCCATCTTCGCATGGAATGCTATCGTGGCGTCGTATGCCTCGAATGGGCATCTGGATGGTTCTTAGAGGCTTTTTAATGAGATGCCCGAGCAGAACTTGGTTTCCTGGACATCGATTCTTGTCACGTACTCGCAAAGCGGGTGTTACAACACGGCTAGGCGAGTGGTTGATGAGATGCCGCAGAGGAATTTGATCTCCTGGACCTCTATGCTTGCAGCAAATGCCGGGAGTGGGTATCTGGCAGAAGCCGAAAGAATATTTAGTGCCATGCCCCAGTTGGATGTGATAGCTTGGAATTGTCTCCTCGCTGTGTATTGCCAAAATCATGATGTTGAGAACGCAAGGACATTTGTTAGGACTATCGTGGAGTGGGACATTAATTCCTGTAATATAATGCTTTTGCTATATGCCCAAGAAGGGCATTTTTGTATGTGCAACAGATTTTTTCCGACATGCCGCAGACGGACATAGTGTCTTGGAACACTTATCTCGCCATTTGCATGAATTTTCGGAAATTGGAGGAGGGTAAGTTCGTGTATGATAATATGCCGCAGAGAGATGCATCTTCTTGGTCTTCCATGATCACAGCATATGCCCAAGAAGGGTATCTTGCAGAGGCGAGGGCGGTTTTTGATTCACTGCCTTTCCAATATCCAGTAGGAAGGACGTCAATCATGGTTGGTTATGCTCAAACTGGAAACCTTGATGCCGCTTACAAGATCTTCCAAGAGACACCACAGCGAGACCTGTTTGCATGGAATGCAATGCTCGCAATGTTTGCCCAAGACAGCGAGAAGCAAACCAAAACCAGAGGGATGCTTGACGAGCTCAAACTCACCGACAATCCAGACGAGTTCTGCTTCACGGCAGCGCTGGTTTCGTGCAGCCATGGCGGGAAGGTTTCTCGAGCAAGGAGCTACTTGGCGTTGATGAGCTGTGACTATGGAGTGCCTCCAACCAAGCTCCACTACAGCTGCATGGTGGATCTCCTGGGACGGACTGGATATCTCCAAGACGCGCGCGAGCTCATGGAATCCATGCCTTTCACCGCCGAGGCATCGGATTGGATTGGCTTTGCGGGAGCTTGCAGCAGCCATAGCTCCCGCTTCCGCGGATCGAAGCTCGCGCTTGGGTTGGATCCCAGCAACGCAACGGGGCACATCCTCGTCTCGAACATCCTGTGCATGGGCTGATTGACCTCTTTGACTTGTTTTGACTGGTTTCAGAGGTTCTTCCACGGCTAGTCTTCAAGATGAGCTATCAAGTCCATGTAAGTTTCATTGTCCCTGTTCTTGGACCCCGTGTCAAACCCAAACCTGATAAGCAACCTCACCATCTTTCTGTTGTTCATGCCCAAGGCAATATCCATGCTTGAGTATCCTGCTTTCCTTCTTGTGTTTGGATTAGCACCGGCCAACAAAATGATCTCAGCAGTCTCAAAGTGGCTCCCGGAAAGAGCTATCATTAGCGGTGTTTGTGTGATCCATCCTTGTGTGTAGTCCGGGCCATCTACCGGAACACCTTTCTCCAGCAAATGTAATACCATTTCCGAGCTCCCAGCATAAGCAAATCTTTTCAAAAGCTCTGGTGCCAAAGTTTTCCAGATCCCTGCTTTCTTGGTGATATCTTCAACCTTTTGGATCATCCCTATGCCTGGTTCCCATGATTCTTCCACAAAACTCCTACCATCTAAGCAAAGCTTTGGGAGCTTTCTCTTGAGTAAACCAATATCAGCCTGTACTACAGCCTCGCAAACGTCGTAGAGAAGATAAGCTTGTCGGTCTTTCTTAGGTATGACTTCACCATCTGAATCGTCATCGAGATCAGGAAGCTCCTCATTGATCTTTGGCTCTTCCGAGCTTGATGACAGTTCTGAATCATCCAATTCTTCATCTTCTTTCCCATCACCTTCGTCTTTTACTTGGTCACTTTCCTCGCCATCTCTTGACTTTTCTGCTGCTTTGAGAAAGTCCACGACCTCCAAATTTCCTTGGTCTATAGCAGCCTCTAAAATCTGCTCATGGCCGCTTCGGCTAATCTTCTCCATTGCATACGCAGCCATTTCCTTACTCCCATGACCCCCTAAGAGCTTCCACAATTTGTCCTCTAAAACACTACTATCGTCGTTGCAAAACGAAACCATCATTTGAAATACCTCCTGGCTGTGTGCATTCCCTTCCTTAGAGCAAGCAAACCTCAGAGGCTCCATTCCACGAAGCCCAGACTCCACCAAGTGACCTCTCAAAAGTGCCAGCACGTATTCATGGTCCCGGAACTCGTGCCCGAAGTAATCAAGGCAGCCAAATTCGTGATTCTCAAATCGTTCCAAGACTTTGGAAGAGATCTGTTTCATACTTCCGCCATTGCCTGTCTTGAGGAAGTAGCTTATCTCGAGAAGGCTCGTTGCAACGCTCAAGCTCCCATCATGCACAGCACAGTAGAAAAGCTGCTCGAGATAATCTGTGGTGTCGAGATAATCGCGTGGCGTCGTCACAACACCCCCATGCTCGATGAGGAAGAACACCGCTTCGACTTTATCTCCTTGGATGGCATAGTTGAGGGGTCTCGCTGCTACAGATGATTTCCTGTTTACTGTAGCATTCACGTAGTCACCGATCGTGCTTGCCTTGTCTAGCAAAAGCTTCATCATCTCCATCTTTCCGTGGAATGCCAACTTGTGAAACGGCTTAAGCTGTCCGCTCCTCGGCCAGGTATCGAACTCCATGTTAATATCCTCGAGAAGAACTTGCAAGACTTCCAAGCTATCACCCTCGCATGCGTCGTGCATCAGCCATTCTTCCTGCGCAACTATAGCTCGCCACCTTTCGCCCAGAAATTTCAGCACTCCATGGCTCCCTGCTTTGACGCAGATGTGGCATAGTCGAGGCACTGCCTTCTTCGGATCAAAGTCCCAGGCTGCCTTGTCAATGACGAACTCTACACCCAGCTTGAAATCCAGCTGGCAGAAGAGATCCACCAGCAAAGTTCCCTGAATGTCCACCATCATGTTCTTGGCTGGTTGCCGAGCTATGGCGTCTGGAACTTCGGGAAACCGCGCTTGAAGAACAGCTAGCATGTCTGTATAATCCTTGGAACTCGTAAATTCCTCATCCCAGCTGGAAGAACTGACTTTGCAACTGCTGCAAAGGTTGCTATAAGCTGCTCGGATGTGTACTAGGCATTCCTTTAGAGAAATCCTGTCGTCACGCTCCGCAGAGCAGCATCCATCGACCACGGCAAAGATCTCATCGAAAACGCTCTCTTTTAGATCCTCCATGCCTTCTGGAACTTGGAGCTCTATAGGAGACCCTCCCATATACTTGTTCATCACCAAGACCGAGTCAATGTACTCGGGTATCTCACCATCTATAATCATTTCCACCAGAACCATCCCCAGCGAGTAGACATCCGAAGGGAATGGATTCGCAAGAACTTCCGGAGGGATCTCGTCTACCGCCTCGTCCAGCTCTGGGGAGATCCAAAACGGTGATCCTCCTAGTGACCTCAAGTAGTCGACATCTTTCTTCCGGAAACTAAACCCAAAATCTATCAGCTTGGGAACCATGAACTCGTCGACCAGCACGTTCTTGCCTTTCAAATCCCCGTGATAAATACCCCGCTGGTGACAAACCGAGAGCCCAATCACGAGCTCCATGAAGATCTCCAGCTTTGTCTTCCACCAAGACCAAGAACACGACGATGGCTTCCCGGATCTCAGGAAAGAATTCAAGTCGGGACCTTGGACGAGCTCCATGACAATGCAAACGCTTTGCATTTCCCGGTTGCGTGTCACACCATAAACGCTTGCAACGTTCCTGGTTCCTTGCAGGATCCGCAGGCTGCTCGCTTCCCTGGTGAGATCTATCACGTCATCATCGCTGCTGTGAATCGTCTTGACAGCCACGCTCACTGTTTCGTTGTCTCCCTCGCTGGGATTTGATCCGCTGCTGGAGGAGTTGTAGTAGTTATACGAGTCGAAAGGGTCGCCTTCGAAGTCCCACACGCCTCTGTAGAGCTTGTGCTGGACGCCATAGCTGCGAGTGATGGTACCTTTGAAGATGCTGCCACAGCCGCCAGCGCCAATCTCTGTGAGCTTGCTAAACTCGAGCGTTTCCAGTCGATAAGTTTGGGAACTAGTATATAGATTACCAGCTATAGCGTTGTCTTTGTTCCAGACTACCTGGGCTTGCTCGTATCCAGTGCTCATCCTCTAGGAATGAAGTAGGGTTCCTACTCGCCGATGAGATCTAGGAGGAAGAATTCTAACTTTGACATTGCTTCTTTGACTAGAACTTTGACTAAAGCTTTGACTAATGTTTGACTGAGATTCTTCCAGTTCTTCACTAGGGCTCGAAGTAGTTTCAGGATGGAATCGTCGATGAGAAAGCTCCTGCCAAGCCCGCATCGCCGGACTGGGCTTCTCAAGGATCAACTCCAACTGGTGCCGAGGAAGGGCGATGGCGGCCGCGAGGATCGCTACGAGATTGCGCCAATCTCCGACCCCCTCTCGTTCGACAAGGGCTTCTTTCTCTTCATCCGGGCGTGTCAGCTCCTCACGCGCACGATGGAAGGAGTGACAATTGTGGTGGGAGTTGCCGGCCCCTCGGGCGCTGGTAAGACCGTCTTCACGGACAAGGTCGCGAGCTTCTTGCCCGGGATTGCGATCATTTGCATGGACAACTACAACGATTCCAGCCTTGTCATCGACGGGAATTACGATGGTAAGAATCCAAACAAGGTGTGTGTTGTTCTTTGTTCTTTCGTTTCTATTCGATAGTTTTGGTTGTTTTGGTTTCGTGCTGATAGATCCCAGGATCGTGGACTACGAAATTCTTCTAGACAACATCAAGAGCTTGAGAGCTGGGACCTCTGCCGACATTCCGATATATGACTTCAAGCTCAGTCGTCGAGTTGGCTATAGGTGAGTTGTCTTTCCTTCCTTTTTGCTCGCATTGGGATCAAGGACCAAGTATGTTCTTGCGTTGTTTCCAGGCGTCTGGAGCATCCATCGACGAGAATTGTGATCGTGGAAGGGATATATGCTTTGTGTGAGAAGCTACGTCCATTCCTGGATCTGCGAGTCTCTATAACCGGAGGAGTCCATTTTGATCTCGTCAAGCGGGTTCTCCGTGACATCAATCGCTCCGGCCAAGCTCCGGAAGACATCATCCACCAGATTTCAGAAACGGTGATTTTGTATGTTCTTGTGAACAGCAGTAGTTTCATAATTCTCTCTTTTTCATCTCTTTGTTGTTTTTCGCACTTAACTTTGTGTCGTTGCCAGGTTTATCCCATGTACAAGGTGTTCATAGAGCCGGATCTAGCAACAGCACACATCAAAGTAGTCAACAAGTTTAATCCTTTCTCGGGATTTCAGAGTCCAACTTACATCCTAAAGGTTTTGGAGATTTCCTTCGTTCTTTCTTTTCTTTTTCTGATTCAAAGTTTTCGATGCTCCAGTCTTCTCGTCATGTCACGGAAGAAGAGATCAAAGCTGTCATTGGCTCCAAGTTCACTGAAGCAACAGAAGATACTTACGATATCTATCTCTTGCCTCCAGGCGAAGACCCGGAAACTTGCCAGTCTTATCTTCGCATGAGAAATCGCGATGGAAGATACAGTTTGATCTTCGAGGTCTTTTAGAAAAAATGCTCCATCCAAGATCTATCTTTGTCACTTACCATGACCATGTTTCTCATTTTTCTCTAGGAACTTGTGACCGATGAGGATTTTATCATCTCGCCAAGGATCACTTTTGACGTGAGCGTGAGGCTCTTGGGAGGCCTCATGGCTCTTGGATACGAGATGGCCACCATTATGAAGCGGTCGAGCCGGGTGTTTTGTGACGAGACTGAGAAGATCGTCGTCAAGATTGACAAGCTCGAGCAAGTCCAGCGAAAGTATGTCCAGGTAGATCCTTTCTTAGCTTTTTTGTTCTTGAGGTTTTTGTATCTCACCAAGTTTTGACAGATACAAGGCAAAGATAGATCGCTCGTCGCGGATATCGGGAAGAAGCTGGGGCTCGAAGGCTCGTACATTCCACGATCTTATATAGAACAAATACAACTGGAGAAACTCACTGCCGAAGTAGTGGTATGGAAAAGAATCGACGTGTTCTTCTCATCTCGATCGTCCAAACAGGCATTGCCGGAGGACCTCAAGAACAAATTAAGCTTGCAAACTACCACTGTTCCGGGAAGTCCAGTTTCATCCAAAACTTATAGCAGAAGGTATGAAGAAATTCTCGTTTTTCCAAGCTCAAAAACTTCCTTTTTTTTCTACAGCTTGAGCTGGAATACCTCGAGGTTTGTCATTTTGTTTTTCTTCCGATCTCCAAAACACTCGATTCACAGAGTTAAGTGTTTGATAGCTTGAGAAAGCAGCCGGAAAGAAAGCCTCCACCGCTGAAGATCGAAAACCTTCAGAGAATTCAAGACGATCGAGGATCGGAGTCTCCGTTGACAGATCAAGTGAGTGATAAAGTTTCCAAAGATCCAACTTTTCTTTTCTTCGCAGGTGTATCCTCGTGTTGTCGAGCAACTTGCGAATGTCAATGAAAAACTCGACGAGCTCGTCTCAAGGCTCGCAGAGCTGGAGAAGAAACTAATCACGCCTTCTTCAGCAGTCCCTATAATCACTCCTCGACGAGTTTCTAGCGGGTCCAACGACGAACAAGTGCTGAGCAACGAGGTAAAGTTCTCTGCGAGTAATTTTCACCCAAAGTTTCACAAACTTCCAGGTGAGATCTCTTGCTCGAGGCCAGCATGACATGAACACGCAGCTGGATCTCCTCACAAACTTCATCCGCCAGAGGCAACTCCTCCCGATCGAGCAAGGTGGTCTAAGCTTGTACCCAAATCCAAAGTTTTTCCTCGTTGGTAGCCTCGCTTTCATTGCCTGTTCATGGTTTCTCGTGAACGCGAGAAAGGCTTGATCGAGAGAAAGCTTCCAATGTACAAAGTAAAGTTCATATTGATGTAAGAAGTTCTCACAGTTTCGTCCTTCCTCGCCCTCTAAGTTCTCAGCCTCTTCTTGGGCTTGGCAACAAAATCTTTGTCTTCTTCGTCCTCGGATTCCTCTCCGCGCTTCGACTTGGCCTTTGTCTTCGCCATTCTTGAAGCAATAGGAGCGTTGTCTTCATCATCGTCTTCCGACTCTTCTTCCTCTTCGCTCTTCTTCGTAGCCTTGGTTTTCGCAGCTCTCGAGGCAATCGGAGCGTTGTCTTCATCGTCTTCCTCTGATTCTTCTTCGCTCGTCTTTGCCTTGGACTTGGTTCTCGACATTCTCGAAGCAATAGGAGCATCGTCGTCGTCGGACTCTTCTTCCTTCTTGGCCTTGGCTTTGGCTTTCGCACCTCTCGAAGCAACAGGAGCGTTGTCTTCATCGTCTTCCTCGGACTCCTCCTCTTCGCTCTTCTTTGCCTTGGCCTTCGCTTTCGACTTTGGAGGAGGCTCCTTGTCCTTGGGCTTAGATTTCGACGCAGCAGCCGCGGGCTTCTTGGAGGAGCTTCCATTCGTTTTAGCAGCAGCACCTTTCACTGGAGTTGACGTCGAGGCACCTTTCACAGGAGTCGATGGCTGCTTGGACTTCTTTTGTTGATTTCGCTTGTCAAAAGCGGCCTTTGCTTCGTCCTCGGGGAGTAGCCCGTGCTCCATCAACCTGGAACATCAAGCTCTAGTTCACAATGAAGAGAAAGAAAATAAAACGTACCAGATCTCAGCCATCTCACTGGTAGGAATTTGCTCACGAGTGCTCTCGTAAAAAATTCTCAAGGGATCTCTCTGCGAAGGACAACGAGTGACTTATCAGCCAGACGATACGAACCCACGCTCACCTCCTCTGGAATCTCATACTTTTGTCCCGGAAGATCGAAAACCTTTTTCTCCCTCACCACTGTTTTCTTCTTCACGATTCTTTTCTTCACAACTTTCCCAGTCCCCGGCTGTGGAAATCAATGAAAGCATTCTCACTGGATGGCGAAAGCCAAGCGATGGATGACAGAGCTTACCTCTACCACCTCCTTGTCCTGGTTCTCGACTTGTTCTTGCACCACCAGCGTCTTTTCCACTCCATTCTCGTGCTCTTGCTTGGCGCTAACTCTCCCCACCATTTCGCTCACCTCTTTCTCATTTGGAGCAGCCTTCTTTGTCACAGTCTTGGACACCACCACGGCCTCCACAGCAGGCTCCGCCGGCGCCGCTTCTTCATCCAAATCCTCCTTCTTCTTCACCGCCTTGGATTCCTTCTCCTTCTTCACCGCCGCCTTGGTCGCTGCCGATCCCTTCTTCGCAGCCGTGGCATCGCTCTTCTTCGCGCCGGCCTCCTTCTTCACCTTCATCGAGGAGCTATCTCCAAGAGCCCTAAATTTCGGCCAAGAGCCCTAATTTTTACTTCCTCTCCCCTTTATGGTGCCATGGCTCGTGGCTCTCTGCGCGCTCCGCTTCGATGTGGAGCAAGGGCAGGTGATGGATTACTGCTTCCCTCCCGATCGCCTCACCGAGATCGAGCGATCCCACATCGCGCTGTGCGCCTTCCCGGATTCGCAGCAGCAGCGCCAGCGGCAGCATTCGTCGCAGCGCACGGCAATCCACGATTCGGTCTTCTTCTTCCGGATCCCGCGTAGCAGCGGCGCCAAGAATCACAAGCATCTCTTCGGCTACGTCTTCAATCGCCAGCGCCAGGACGAGCGGTTGATCCGGGGCGGCGACCAGAAATCCGTGGTAATCCTCTCCTATTTTCCCTACTGGAGCTCCATCTTCAAGCCGCTCGTCCAGATCGCCGGCCCTCTCTTCTTCGACAGCGGCAGCGCGGCGCTGGAGAGGATCTCCTCGATAATCTCCTCCACCTGGCCGCCGCCGCCGCCCAATCCCAAGATCCAGGCCGGATTGGAGCTCCCGGTGGTGAACATGGTGATCCGGGTCACGAATCTGGCTCCTCTCCCCGATCAAGGTATCGTGTTCCACGATGTGGATCTCTTCGCGGTGCTCAAGGGTGTTTTGATGCAGCTTTGGCTGCTCTGGGAGCTCGCGCTCGTCGGCGAGCCGCTGCTCGTCGTGGCTCCCTCTCCATCCGTCTCTTGCGAGGCAGTGGCAGCGATCTCCAGCCTGCTAGCTCCGATTCCATGCAGCTCGGATCTCCGCCCCTACTTCACGATCCACGACCCCGACTTCCACACGGATTTGGCAGCGTCGTCGTCCATCCTTCTCGGCGTCACCAATCTCTTCTTTCTCCCGGCATTCTCGTCCTCCAAGAGACTCCCCAGCGTCGTCTCCCTCCTCGATCCTCACCACCACCACCACCAGTTCCAGCAGCTCAAGAAGTTCGTCGACAAGAAGCCGTGGAGTTCTTTGCCTTGGACGCAGCGCCGCCATAGCCAGGCTGTGTGGAGCACCCACGCCCCGGCCACCAAGCCGGACACCTCGGTTCTCAACAGGCTAGTCGACGCGATTCCATCCTCGCCAAGGATGGACGAATCCATGTCTCTCGTCAACAGTGACATCCTCCGCCGCCACTTCGAGGAGCTCACCACCAACTTTCTCGCTCCCATCGCGCCATACTTCGCAGTGCCATCTTCTGGATCAAACAATCCTTTCGTTGATCCGCCACCTCTGCCAGCTTTCGACGAGCAACGGTTCCTGAGCGCGCTGGCGACCAGGGGTCCCGGGAAGTTTCTGGCCAAGAGGCTTCGTTCCAACTGGATCGACTTGTACAGGTACTTGGTTCTGCAATCTTTCGAAGTTTTTCTCACTCTTGGGTTTGTTCCAACTTTGCCACCAGACGATTCCTCCGTGGCCCAAACTTCATGCCGTGGTTTCGATCCAGACGTGCAAATGCCGAGAGAGAGCAGCGGCGGATCTGGAGGCAAGCGCGTGCCCGGGCCGACGTGCGGACCATCGTGTCCAAGATGCCCGAGCTGGAGCTCGTCGAGACTTTCAACGCTATTCTACGCCATCTAGTCGCCGAGCTCGACCTCCAGGTATACACCAGAAGGCTCGAACATCATTTCTAAAAGTTCTCTCTTTTCTCCAGATGTCGCAAACCCAGAGTTTTCCGGAGAAGCTCCGGGCCGATTTGCGAGTCGTCTTCGACATGCTACCGAAAGACACCCAGCAATTGCTGCTGCTGAATCCACAGCACGCATCGCTGCTCGATCCCAAGACGAGCAACAGCAGCGGAATCAGCAGGAGTAGCAGCGGCAGTAGCAGCACCAAGTTGCCCGGGAGACCGTCAATCCACATATCGTGGTCTTCTCAAGCCACACCCGCGGCACCATTGTCACTTTCGAGGAGGAACAGCCCTTTGGCATTGTCAGGAAGGCTGGCGCAGGAGCTAGCCAGCGATCCTTTGGACTTGGACAAAGCATAATCGTGGAATATTTCGGAAAGCTTTGAAGGTTCTTTCTCCTGTAGAACATAGAAAATCTTTGTCAGCTTTGCCGGGACCAAGTCTACTCCGATCCATGGAGGTAAGAACTTGGCGAGTTTTACATCACAACTCGTGACCATCTCCCACAGATCGACGATGTCATCGGCCAAGCTCAAGCTACCAAGTTGTTCCAGAGGCCGACGTTTCCAGAGCAAGACGAAGCAGCTCAGTGTTAGAGTTCCGATCGTTCGAAGCGTGGAGGAGCAATGCTTCGCATCATCAATCAGCCAGCTTGTCTTCGACAGAAACAAACTCCGCTGTCAACTTGGCCATTCAGCAACAAGAGTTAAAGCAAAAAGCGATCACAGCGGAGAGTACAAACGATCTTTCCTCTTGATATGCTATGTTGAAAGCGAGCGAGAGATTCGAGGAGTGAGTGGAAGCTTGTGTTTCTGAGAGTTGAAGGCTAATATCCTTGCTACATTGAGTTTGGAACTTCCACATTCACAATCCTCCCATCTTTCTAGTCGGATATTTTGACGAGCTGCGAAAACTACATGTACTATCGGAAACCCAACCAAATTCCTGGGTCTGACATTGACATGCTCTTTACAGGGCTGAAAATTCGAGCAATGCCGCCAGGCGACATTTCACTGGGAGGCGTCGGAATCATCTGGAGACCGGGAGATGTTCTCTTCACATAGAGAACACGCCACAGCTCCAGCGATGCCTCGCTCTTCCCGGACGAAAGAAGCGCTCCGTGTTGCAACTTCCAGGGTATAGGACAACTAGAGTAGAAAAGGGAGCTTTCTCCCTTTTCCTTTTTCTACAGGACAAAGGAAAGGTGGTGGGAGAATATCTTCCCAGCAAGAAACCTGTATTAGGATCTTTGCTCGTCCCCCACTGCGTCTATGGATGACGAGTTGTTCTTCGACAGGGAGAGGGAGATGCAGGAGCTGCTGACGCTTTTGGAGGTGGGTGCCATGCCCAACATGATAGTACTCATCGGCCCCGCCAACTCAGGCAAGAGTGCCCTCCTGCATCGCCTCCACAGTCTGTGGGAGGCTGACCAACGCCTCAAGGCCACGATGCCCGTGTTCTATCTCGACATGAGGCTTGCAGACGTGCACACTCCCGCGCTGGCCGCAGCTAAGATTGCCAATCAGCTGCGCACCTGGCTTTCGTGGTTTTGGAAGCTGGGGACAGCCGCGGCTACGAGCCTGAAGATCACGTTCAAGGGTGTCAGTTCGGATGCAATGAGCCTCGCCAGTGTCCTCAAGAAGGAGCCACAGTCGGATCTGGCCTCGGTCATGGCCGCCTTCACAGGTTTGGCGTATGCCGACTCCAATATCAGGCCCGTGTTCATCATTGACGACGTGGACAAGCTCAAGAGATGGGACGATAAAGATCTGGACATTCTGCTGCAGGGTTTTGTCGCCATGACCAAGCAAGACCATCGAGCCGTGGTCATCATGTCCACTTCGGACGACCTCTTCCGGCAGTGGTTTCAGGGGCACGTCCATTCGTCACAGTGGACTCCGCTGGGCGTTGGCCACTTCAGCAAGGAGCATGCGAGGCAGCTCTACTGCAGGCTACTCAGGGAGCGCGAGGTCCAGCAACCAGATGTCACTGATGAGGAGTGGGAGAGGATATATGCAGTTTGCGGTGGCAGCCCGCTTGATCTAGCGAACCTCGTCACGGGCGTCTTCAAGCGCGGGAAGCAGATGGAAGCGGTTCTAGACGGCATGGTAGACGCGGCAAAGACTAGCGTGGAGACCGGGGCGCAGGCTATCAAGGGAGAACTCGGCTGGGATGGGGCGAAGTTTAAGTCTGTGGCGCGCCTCATCCTGCAGACCAACGGGGCGGTTGGTATTAGGACTGTCTATCGCAAGGCATTCGGTGGTAACGTGAATGAGGCCCGAGCACAGCTTCGAGCAATGCTCAAGGCCAACGTGATCCATGTCAGGTATGCACCGGCCGACGTTTTCTACGATGACCTTCACAGGGGCAACGACAAGAGCAAGGACTTTGTCATGGCCGTGTCCCCTCCGCAGCTCGTCGCCATGCGGGTGTACTTGGAAGAGGAAGAGCAAGAAGAAGCATTGCCATGAAGGTGTCAATTCTCTAAAGGTCTCAATTCAGGTAGTGTGTCATGAGGTGCACTCAAACAGGAGTTGGAGCTCTAAAATTTTTGTGTTGTATCATTTGGAGTTATGATGTTTGTTGATTTACTATGTTTTTCTATATTTTGTGATATATTAAATCTATTCCTTCTAGATAATGTAACATTTTTTGTCAGATCCAACTTAGTGAACTAACAACTCCACCCAACTGGGCGAGGAGGGTATTGTTTTGATGGAGTGGATGTGTTGTGGGTGGTGATGGTTGATGAAGAGGACAATCTAGTGAGCTATAGTTTGAGTAGCAAGCAGTGGAGAGTCCACTGCTCTAGTGGGCCTTTCAAAGTAGAGATGCGTTCATGTGTTTTTGTAGACACTGGATAAAAACTAAAGACTCCGAGCTTTTAGAGAGAAATAGTATTGATACGATTTGGAAAAACAAATGGTCCTACTTCGTTATCTAGTAATGTACCTTTTCGTCGTTTAATAATTGCTTTTTGTTTCTAGTTTTAAAGCTCTCGAACTTTGCCAGAGGCTACCTTCAGGGCCCAAACTTCATGCCACGGTTTCGCTCAAAGACGTGCCAATGCCGAGAGAGAGCAGCGGCTGAGTGTGTGCTATGTTGTCTAGCTGGAGCTCTATGAGCTCGACCTCCAGGTATACACCAGAAAGTTAAAGCACTTCTAAGTTTTCTCACAATCCAAACGCAAGGAGGAAAGATTGTCTTGGATAAGCTCTGAACGGAGTAGTGTTCTGAAGAAAACCCTGCAATTACACCTCACTGCTCAAAGAGTCTGCCGGATAATGCAGGGTAAAAATAAAATTAGCTTATCCAAACTAGTTGCTGTTGATTGGCTCTATAGACAATTACTATGTTTCAGGGTGAATTCCGGCTTGGCTTGGCAAGCCTTTTTATTGTCTTATGCGGTCAACTTCGATACAATCAATCATTGTCGAACTTAGTTCGCGCAAAATAGCTTATGAGCTTGCAAAACTAATACAGAACATCATATCTTATCAACCTGAGCTTGTAAGATTTAATTTTTTTTGAATTCCTTAATATGATAATTAAGAATTAAAAAATCCAGAAAGGTCAGTAGGGCTATTAGGGCTAGACGATGGCGAGCCCCTCAAACTCGTCTGGAAGCATCCACCAAAGAGAAAGACTCCCAAAGCTTCGGAGGCACCAGCGATCAATGCCACGGGTAGAGAATCTTTTCTCCCGCCGGACGCACCGCGAAAGAGGGTCCAAAGATGTGGGCAGGACAGTTGTAGTTCTCCGCAGGAGCAGCAGCGAGCGATTCCATACGATCAGGAGGAGAATCGAGAGCTAGGGCTTCTAGATAGGGACCTCGAAACGCTAGTTTTGGAACGCATCCCTCTCGCCTCGCGCATGACAGCCCGGGCAGTGTCTCGCGCCTGGAATTCCAAGCTCTCCACTCGTCCCCAGGCCACGCTGGTGGTGCTCAACGCCCGGAACTCCCGCCAGCTCATCGCCTTTGACACGCGCCACGGTGTCTGGGCAGCGCTGCCCGACGCTCGCTCCCTGCCAGTGGGAGCCTCGCGCCTGCTTGGGGCAGCTGGTGACGTGGCGCTCGCCAAGTCCGAGTGCCCGGGCAGGCTGTTGGTGGGCAGCCCGCTGGGAGGTGTCTGGGCTGACGTGGTTTTACCGCCAATGTGGCATTCCGACCTGCCAGGAGCTCCCATGCACTTCCTCGCAAGGCGACCGCACGATACCTTCAAGGTCATTTCCATCTACGGCCACCAAGGCAATGTGATTGTCTACGACTCCAGCAAGCCGGGTCATTGGTCCACGTGTAATCCAATCCCTGATTGGCATCCCCCTGGCTAACACACTATTACTGGTGACAGGATCTACTACGAGGACACGTCCCATATAGTTTGCTACTCCTTGCTTGACCAGTCAACGCAATATACTGTGTTAAGGTGGCCCCTTGATTGCATGGCCGACTCTGGCGATGGAAAAATGGTCTACTGTGGCGGTCATCTCTTTGTTATCGATGTTAGGACGGATTGGTTTGGGAGAATCATTGAGCCGTCACCTTTACATACAATAGTGGTGTGGAGATTTCTGGGGGAGAGTGGTGGATGGGTTGTGGAGTTCAAATGCCCGGTTGGGGCGAGGAGGACGAGCAACGGGTATTGTTTTGATGGAGTGGATGTGTTGTGGGTGGTGATAGTTGATGAAGAGGGCAGTGTAGAGAATCTAGTGAGCTATAGTTTGAGTAGCAAGCAGTGGAGAGTCCACTGCTCGAGTGGGCCTTTCAAAGTAGAGACAAGTTCATGTGTTTTTATAGATACTCGCTAACAATTAAAGACTAAATGGTATTTGGAGAAACAAACGGTCCTTCATCATTATCTAGCAATGCTCCTTTTCGTTTTGGTCTGGCATATAGTATTCTTTGTTTCTAGTTTAACTCTCTCGAACTTTGCCAGAGGCTACCTTCAGGGCCCAAGCTTCATGTTTCGCTCAAAGACGTGCCAATGCCGAGAGAGAGCAGTGGTGGATCTGGAGGCGAGTGCGTGCTTGAGCCGGCCATGTTGTCTAGCTGGAGCTCTATGATTTTTCTGCATTATCCGGCTGGCTCTCACTAGGTGTAATTGCAGGGTTTTCTTCAAAACTTCAGGGCTTCTCCCAAACGGGAATCTTTTCTCCTTGAGTTTGCGTCAAGAGAAAACTTAGAAGTGTTCTAAGTTTCTGGTGTATACCTGGAGGTCGAGCTCAAAATTAGCTTATCCATACTATTATGAGATAGTTGCTGTTGATTGGCTCTATAGACAATTCCTAGCAAAGTTCGACAATGATTGATTATATCGAAGTTGACCTGTTTTCAGGGAGCTGCATTGTTGAATTCGGGCTTGGCAAGCTTACAAGGTAGTTCTTTGTATGAGGGAAGAGGCGCAAAGTAATTTATAAACTTGCGAAACTAATAGTTGTACATATGATAATTAAGAATTTATTAATCTGAAGAAATCCATAAGTATGCGAGTATATAAGATACGAGGCTATTAGGGCTAGACGATGGCGCGTAAGCCACTAAGTAGGACTAAACTCGTCTGGAAGCATCCACCAAAGAGAAAGACTCCCAAAGCTTCGGAGCCGCCAGCGATCAATGCCCCGGGTAGAAAATCTTTTCTCCCGCCGGACGCACCGCCAAAGAGGGTCCAAAGGTGTGGGCAGGACAGTTGTAGTTCTCCGCAGGAGCAGCAGCGATCTCGCGTAGCGATTCCATACGATCAGGAGGAGAATCGAGAGCTAGGGCTTCTAGATAGGGACCTCGAAAGGCTAGTTTTAGAACGCATCCCTCTCGCCTCGCGCATGACAGCCCGGGCAGTGTCTCGCGCCTGGAATTCCAAGCTCTCCACTCGTCCCCAGGCCACGCTGGTGGTGCTCAACGCCTGGAACTCCCGCCAGCTCATCGCCTTTGACACGTGCCACGGTGTCTGGGCAGCGCTGCCCGACGCTTGCTCCCTGCCAGTGGGAGCCATGCGCCTGCTTGGGGCAGCTGGTGACGTGGCGCTTGCCAAGTCCGAGTGCCCGGGCAGGCTGTTGGTGGGCAGCCCGCTGGGAGGTGTCTGGGCTGACGTGGTTTTACCGCCAATGTGGCACTCCAACTTGGCAGTAGCTCCCGTGCATTTCCTCACAAGGCGACCATACGATGCCTTCCAGGTCATCTCCATCCACGGCCACAGAAGCTACGTGATTCTCTACGACTCGAGCCGGCCAGGTCATTGGTCCACATGTAAACCAGCCCCGTGCATCACCCGGTTCCAGGCAGCCGAGATTACTTGCCATGACCGTGCCTACCACACCATTGCCGGTGACACCATCTACTACGAGGACCAAATAGATAGGGCCACCCCGTCCCAGTTCTTCTCCCGTATAGTTCGCTACTCTTTGCTTGACCAGTCAACGGCATGTACTGTGTCAAGGTGGCCCGATAGCTGCACGGGCTCCGGCGGTGGAAAGATGGTCTACTGTGGCGGTCATCTCTTTGTTATCGATGTTGGGATGAGAAGCGTTGAGTTGCAAGCTTTAGATACAATAGTGGTGTGGAGATTTGTAGGGGAGAGTGGTGAATGGTTGGTGGAGTCCAAATGCCCGGTTGGGGCAAGGAGGACGTCGAGCAAGGGATATTGTTTTGATGGAGTGGATGTGTTGTGGGTGGTGATGGCTGATGAAGAGGGTAGTGTAGAGAATCTAGTGAGCTATAGTTTGAGTAGCAAGCAGTGGAGAGTTCACTGCTCGAGTGGGCCTTTCAAAGTAGAGACAAGTTCATGTGTTTTTGTAGATACTCGATAGGGTATCTACAAATCTAGTCTTTTACTTCTTTTCTGCTTCTCAAAACATCTTTTCAGCACTGGAGAAGTCAGAGGAAAAAAGACAAGCAAAAAAAATGCAGTTTACCACAATAGAGTATTTACAAATCCCTGGAGAGAAGTACTTGATCTAGTCTTTTTCTTCTTTCCTGCTTCTCAGAATACCTTTTCAGCACTGGAGAAGTCAGATAAAACAGAGGAAAAAGAAAAAGGAAAACTACGCTCGATCCCTCACTAATGTGATCCGCAAAGAGCACATAGCTGAAATTTTTATCTGCTAAAATAGGATCAATGGTTACAATCTTTGGAAAGAGATTGTGATTCCAGAGTGAGTTCCAAACTTACTGTAGTAAGGATATTGTGGCGGAACAATGTTTTCGCATCATCAGCCAAGGAAACAGAACTCCAGTAAATCAGCAAAAAGAGAAAGCAAAAAGTGCATAAACATCTTAATGCTTATTAATATTATTAGTGTGATATAATATTAATAATAAACCACCAAACCAATGAAGCTAAGCTATCATGTAAAGGTCAATTATTTGATATTTTATATAGTGTAATAAAACTATGTAATATGTTGGAATTTGCAACATAAATTTTTGTAACATAATAAACTTAAGTATTATTATTATTTATGTATGTTATGTGTTGCAATTTGCATAATTAAAATTTGCAATACAAAAATAAATTTACAAAAAAAATCTTTACTCTTTTTTATTATGTTATAAACACTTTAATTGCTTTTAAGCGTGATTTGAGTTAACAAGCGGCCGGAGGTGCTGTGAAGCCACGGATTGCGAGCAGCGCTATCAGGATGGCCATGGCAGCATTGTTGTGGGGTGGATTTGACAGCTCTTTTATCTTGGACGAGATCCTCGTGTAGATCCTTCTTCCATCCATAGATTCCTCATGGACATTGAGTCCAGCTTTTGTTTTTCTTTTTTTGAAAGAAGAGAATAATTAGAATGCAAAAGTAATATTAATACTAATGAATAAGTTTTCATAATATTGTTATGTTATTCAAGCCAACAAATTGGAATATTATTATTGTGTTGCTTAGTGTTCTCCCAATCATCATGATATTGCGTTGCAAATTGCAACAAAAAAATTATGTTACAATTGTGTTATAATTGCAACCATGGGAGAAAGTCTTCAAGAAGATCCTCTCGCTACTTAATCCTCAGCAGGCACAAATCTTTCTCCTTTCCTCGTTCTTTCTCGAAATTTCGACCTTGTGCATGGAATAGGCTGCTACATTGAGGAGTAACGAGTGAGCTGGTTTGATTTCTATTCTCTCCGGAGCGAAAAGGTCTGCCTATAATCGTGGAATTTTGAGCACGCAAATTCTAGAGGAACAATGCTTTCGCCAGGAGCTTGCCTTGGAAACTTATATAGACAAAAGCATGGAAAAAAACTCCTGTCACTTGGCCATCCAGTAAATCAGCAAAAAGAGAAGGCAAAATGCGATCACGGCCGAGAGTATCAACGTATCTCTGGAACGCTTTCTCTTGATAGCACCTGTGGTGAAAGAGAGTGATCGAGAGAGTCAAGGAGTGATCGAAAGCTTGTGTTTCGGGCTTACCAAGAAGGCTTCGAACGATAGGAAATCTATCACTGAGCTGCTTCATCTTGCCCTGGATCTCGAGAAACGTCGACCTCTGGAACGAGAGAGCGGCCTTGGTCGCTTGAGCTTGGCCGATGACATCGTCGATCTGTGGAGATGGTCACGAGTTGTCACGTAAAAGTCGGCAAGTTCTTACCTGGGAGATGCTTCCGTGGATAGCAGCACGCTCTCGGAGTAGACTTGGCCCCGGCGAAACATTCCCAGAGGCCTGCAATGATTTTTTCTATCACAAAAATGTTCTATCAAGCTTTTGATCGAAACGAACCTTGAATTCACTGATCTCGCTCCGGACCGATGACAAGAGATCGGCATGCTCTCGCATGGAGTTGATATTCCCTCTTGTTCTTCGGAATTCCTGAAAGCTTTCCTAGTCTGATCGAGGACAAAGAACAAAATCCAAAGAACCTGGGTGAGCTCGTGGAGAATATCGCGATGCCGCGCGAGCTTCTGGCTGATCGAAGCAGTCGACGTCGCCGACGCGACGCAGCGGCTCATTGCATCGTTGAGATCCAGGAGCTTCTCCAGCAGCGACTCGATTTCCATCTCCATGGAATTGTAGGCCACATCGCCGGCCCCGGCGCCATGCCCGTCTGTGGTGGAGGGGGAATCCACATACCCTACCAAGCTACACTGAGTCTGGCAAGAGATCCTAGATCGCAAGAGGGAAATTCTTACCTCCGTGCGCCAGCATTCCTCCCAGCTTGGCGTAGGACGAGAGCTTGACATCGAGGTCGCCTTCGATCTTGCGAGCTTCGCGCCTCAGCTCCTCCCATCTCACATCGCCTTCTTCCATCACGAGAGATGGGAAATTTTCTAACCTAGAGGGATCGAACCCACATTCTTTGTGGGTATATTCGCGAGATGCTATTTTCTTTATTGTGGGTTTAGGGTTTAGGGCATGGGCAAGCGGCGGGCGGAGAGAAAGCCCGGCAAGAGCCGGGCCGCCAGCGGCGATGGCACCAGCGCCAGGAAGAAGAAGAAGCCGCAGCGATCGGTCGCGGAGGATGATTTCTTCGACGGCGCTAGCAGCGAGGAAGAGAATGCCGCGCGGGAGGAGGAGGTAGCCGCCGACGATGGCGAGGATCTGGAGGAGACTGTGCACGAGAAGAAGGTACGCCTTGCCAAGGCCTATCTTGAGAAGCTCAAGGCCAAGGCGGCCGAGGAAGAGGAGGATCAAGGCGATGAGGAGGTTGGGGAGGATGAAAGACAGGGGAGGAGGGACTCGGTTGTTGCGGATTTGCTGCGCCAGGAGCAGCTAGAGGAGAGTGGGAAAATCCAGAGGAAGATCGCTTCCAGGTAAAGAGAACAAGCTTTCTTCTCTCGTCCCAGGAACGACTTATAACTGTGGTCTTAGATTGTTGCTGCCAGAGGTTCCAAGCGAAGGAAACTTGTTGATCCGGAAGCACAGGCTCTCAGTCACGGCTCTAGCTCTCACCGAAGACGAAAAGTGGGGATTTTCTGGCTCCAAAGATGGACTTCTGCTGCAATGGGACGTCGAGACTGGCAAGTGTTTTCGCTACGAGCGACCAAAACCTGAGAAATCAGCGGAAGCTGGCAAGAAGCCCAGCAGCAGCCGAATCCTTGCGCTCGCGGTAGATTCCAGCGGAAGATATCTCGCCAGCGGAGGACCCGATAGATCAGTGCACTTGTGGGACGTGAGAACTCAAGCACACATACAAGTGGGTGATTCTTTTGACGCTTTGATTTTAAAATCCTGATTGGTACTATAGGCGTTTCCAGGACACAGGGGTGCTATCACTTCCTTAGCATTTAGACAAGGAACGACACAACTCTTCTCCGGCTCCTCTGATCGAACTTTAAAGCTCTGGAGTGCCGAGGACAGATCGTACATGGACACTCTTTTTGGTCACCAATCCGAGCTTGTGTCCGTCGACTGCTTAAGGCAAGAGCGTGTTCTTTCGGCTGGACGGGACCGGACTCTCAGGCTTTGGAAGGTATGTCGCTGGCTGCTTTGAGTTTTCGTACTTAATTTTTCTTACAGTTCATTTCGTGGCACAGGTTCCTGAAGAAACGCAGCTCGTCTTTAGAGGCTATACGGCATCGATCGAGTCGTGCTGCTGTATAACAAACGGAGAGTTTTTGTCTGGTGCTGACGATGGCTCCGTCGCGCTCTGGAGTGCAGTGAGGAAGAAGCCCGTGTATATAGCCAAAAGTGCGCATGGGCCAAAGGTGGAAGAACACAGGAACGGTGAGACTCCTTGGATCTCGCTTTTCACTGTGAAAGTTCTAACTTTCGACTGTTCCAGGTGAAACATCGCTACCAGCGTCGTGTGGAGCAATTGAGGCATGGGTCGGGGCAGTGGCTACTTGCCGAGGTAGCGATCTAGTAGCAAGTGGAGCTGGAGACGGCAAAATCCAACTTTGGTCTGTAGAAGATGGGAATAAAAGTCTCAAGCCTCTTCATACTCTACCAGCCGTAAGTTTCTTAATCCTTTTTCCCTCTCACGACGATCGATCAACCCTCTTTCAACCTTCCCAGAAAGGATTTGTTAATGCGCTAGCGTTCGCTCGTAGCGGGCGCTTCCTACTAGCAGGAGTTGGCCAAGTAAGTCTCTATTCATCCATTGATTTACTCAAACACAAAGGACTGTACAGGAACCTCGCCTGGGAAGATGGGCTCGAAACTCTCAGGCCAAGAACGGCGTTCTAGTTCACAAGCTAGAGCTAGCATCATTGTAGAGGTACTGTACTCGACTCGGCTCAAAATACACTGAAGTTTTGGACAAGTGAGGTGGTGGCATTAACACAGAGTGAAGAAGAGGAGAGCAAGGAAGAACAGAGCTTACTTTCATAGAGGTGTCGACAAAATGTCCGCTGCTGCCTCCTCCGCCGCTGGCTCCGCCGCCGCCGGGAGATCTTCCTCCACTCCGAGTATATCGGCGCTCAAGCCAAATCTCCCGGCTCCTTGTTGGAACTGCAAGTCCTCGGCTCGAGCAGCAGCCTCGGCCTGCGCGACCCTTTGCCGGAACGTCATCGCCATCTCGTCCGCCTTCTCGTACACCAGCGATGGATTCCGCAACATATCTCCAGGGGTCGGCTCCAGCTTCTTGGTGGACAAGCTTATGCGCCCCCGATCCTTGTCATGGCTCAAAACCATGACTTTGAGCTTGTCACCCGGCGAGAGGACGTTTTCCACGGTGGTGATCCGGTCGTGGCTGATCTGGCTTACGTGCAAGAGCCCAGTGAGTCCTCCCAGATCGATGAACGCGCCGTATGGTTTGATCGTCTGGACGGTTCCCACCACCACCGAGCCGATGCCCAGCGTGGCTTGATTCTCTGCTAGAGCTTTCCTGTGGCTCACCACCAGCCTCTTTTGTTCTTCGTCCACCTCGAGAACTTTCACTGGGAGCTCCCTTCCTGTGAGATTCTCCTGGTTGAGGCCTCCGGCGAGCTGCGAGAATGGAAGGAATGCCTTGAGGCACTCAATCTGGAGCGAGAGGCCACCCCGGTTGCTGCTCACCACCACGCCCTTGCAAATCGCGTCCTCGGCCTGGATTTGCTTGAGCCTCTCCCACGAGAGCTTGATGTGCATCTCGCGGAGGCTGACGATGAAGCGGCTGTTCTCCTCGTCCTCGCGGACCACCTCGAATTGCTCCTGGACGCCGGAGAAGAGACCCATGACGCGCAGATCCTTGAGCTTGAACACCGACGCCAAATCCATGGGCAGGAAGGCCATGGATTTGCCGCCAATGTCCACCAGCGCGCCCAGCTTGTCGGTGACGAACACCGTCCCCTTCACCACATCGCCCACGGTGTGGTCGAATTCGTACTTGGACAGCGCCTCCTCGAACTCCTCCACCGTGAACGGCACGCCCTCGAGAGGATTCTCCTGGAGCGCCTCCCACCGCCGCTCAATCTCCTCCTTGATGTCCAGATTCCGCGAGCGCGGGTCCGCAAAGGCTACCACGCAGTGGACACGCGCCGCATTCTTGCCGCCGCCTGGAAATCCTCCCGCGGCCTTGCGATTGCTGCCGAGAAACCCTCGCCTGCCCGCGAAGCTGCTGCTGCTGCTAGATCCTACCACTAGCGGCTTCCCGATGCCAATCCCACCGCCTAGCTGCGCCGCCGCCGCCGTCGTCGTCGTCGCCACCGCCGCTGCCCCCATCGATCGATGATTCGATCGCTACCCTAGCTATCCATCCATTTTCTTGGGGTTAAACCCTAAACCCCCAATCTTCCAACTAGAACCACAAGTATATCCACAAAGCCAAATAAATATTTGGAGGGAGATGATGCTATGATCTCGCGATCACAAGACAAAGAAAAATCATAACCCAATCCGCGATTCCTTAATGGAAAGCAACGCAGTCATTGACTCCGCGATTTGATCTTAAAGTTTTTTAATTGGCCAGGCGTGCCGCACGGCTCGAGTGAAGTGACGCCCGCGGCACGGTGCCGCGCGGCGTGTACGATTGGCTACGGTGCCGCTGGTAATTGTACGGTGGAGGAGATTTGAAAACATTTGTACCGCGCGCTTCTTACAGCCCGTGCCGCGCGGTACAAACAGTGACGCCGGCGGTACGGGGTTTAATTTGCTCCCTAGAATAATTTTGGAGCCAGCAAGGAGGCTGTCCTGAGATTTGTTTTGTCTGCCAGAGGAGAGTCAGAGACGAGGCAGTCAGTCGAGGGTCTATGTGTGAGAGTGTGTAATCTTGTGAGAAAGAATTCCACTCCACCACTCCATTTCTATCTATCTAAAGAGGTGGGAGGGAGCTCTTCTCTTCCCATCCAAAATCCCATTTTTCTCGCGCAAAATCCCGTTTTTCCGTGCCACTCCTCTCCCGCGCGATCGATCTCGCCACTGGGCGCTCGCCTCCCAATCGCCCTCTTCCTCCATTTTCCTCTCTCGTTCTTTCTTCTTCCTCTCTTCTTCTCGGTAGGTTTGTGGGTGTTTCGAGTTCGTTCGCCATCGTTTTCCAGGTGAAGAGCAACAGAGCGTGAGGAGGAAAACTAGCAGCCAGGAGAGAAATCAATGCTGCTTCCATCTCCATCGCTGGAAAGCTCTTCGCCTTCTTCTTCTTTCTCTCGCTCTTAAGTCTCTCTTCTGCTGGCGCCCGTGACTACGTACTATTCCATTGCCCAATCGAGGGAATTGGAGACGCGAGCTTGGAATTCGAGCGAGGGGCCAATGTAGGCTCTCTGGGAGCCAAGGTATGGAGCGATTCCATTTTCTCTTTCTCTTACCAGCGATAGATCCGTGTCTAGGAACGAGCAATGTCCGTGGAGGTGATTGATTCCTCCTCGCAGCAGCAGCAATCGTCGAGCAAAATGGTGGAGGGATCGACCAAGCAAGTCGCCATGAGTCCCAAGCATCACGCACTACTCCTCGAAGGTGGGAGAAAACGCGAAAGAGAATCCAATGCTCACGTACCTTGGCCCAAAATCGTGTTTTGGGTGGTGATTGATTGGCAGGAGGAAGAACACGAGAGGAGCTGATTGGTATCCATAGCCGCCACGCATCAGAATCTCTCCTCCTCAAAGGTATAGAAAGCTCTTCTCTCTCTTTTCTTCTCGATCTACGGGTGAGAGATCTTCGAAATTTTTCTCTAGGCACCTCTCCAGTAGCGCTCGAGAGCAATGGCTATGGATGGTCGACGCCAAAGCCCGACGCAGCGCTGCTCAAGGTGATGAAGCTCCAGGCCAGCGGCGGTGGCGGCAAGAAGAATGGCGGAAGAACAGCGGCGCCGCCGGGCTCGCAGGAGAACCGGATCACCACCGACGAGGAATCCGCGGACTACGACAGCAGCCTGGAGAACACATCCAGCGTCTCCAGCTTTGATTTTAACAGCCGAGGAGATCCACAACAGCGCTCCGGCGGTGGCGGCGCCACCACTACCGCCGGTGCCGCGCGATCGATGTTGAAGCCAGCTCCCTCGAAGTGGGACGACGCCGAGAAATGGCTCGTCTCGTCAGATGGAGCGGCGATCAAGAGCAGGATGATGGCAGCGCCCAAGATGCAGCAACTGCTGTCCTCGATCCCCAATCACGTCATTATCAATGCAAGCAAGAAGGCCGCGCTGCTCGGGCAGCCACCGCGCGGTACCGCCGGTGCCGCCGGCGGTATGATGCCACCGCCGGACGATAAGAAGATCGATGGCCCCGCGGCGTACAAGTTCTCTTTCATGCCCAGCCCCGGCGGAGGAGGAGGAGGACCTGTGAAGACGCGATCGATGAGCTCGCTCGATCGCTACCCGCTGGAGGAGCTCCACGAGCTGGCTTGCGACGATGCCAAGCTCAAGCTGGTGACCAACTTGGCCCAGGACGCGATCGACGACGCCGTGGACGATGATCTCTCCAAGCCGGCCCTCCGGACCGAGAAGCCCACCTCGGACTTCTCAGGTGAGATCACTCTCTTCTTTCCTTCGAAACTTTCATAGTTCTCCAGCTTTCCAACTTAGTTATCTCTCCTTTCCAAGTTAGTTTTCTAGTTTTCCAGCTTCGAACTTTCATCCAGCTTTGAAAGAACTTAGAACTCTTCGAGCACTTCTTCCTTGGTCCTTTCCAACTTAGTTTCTTAGTTTTTCCAGCTCTAGACTTAATTTCTTCTTAGTTTTTCCAGCTTTGAACGAGCTTAGAACTCCCATCCAGCTTTAGAACTCTTCTTACTTGGCATTTCTAACATGGAGATCTTTGAAACTTTAGATCATCCGGGCGCCAAGGGCGAGCACCAGAGCCCCGGGGGTAACGGAGGCGGCGGCGGCATAGCAAACCCCGCTACGTCGTACGTAGCGCCGCCGGGGCTGAGGTCGGTGTCGATGCGCGACATGGGGACTGAGATGACGCCCATTGCGAGCCAGGAGCCGTCGAGAACGGGCACCCCGATAAGAGCCACCACCCCGACCATTCGGAGCCCGGTATCCTCTCGGCCCTCCACGCCCGGGCGGATCACAGCCACCATTGACGACGATGGTGGTGGTGGTGGTGGCGGCGAAGGCGGCGGAGGAGTAGCGGCGGCGGGGATTAGCAGCGGCAGCCAGACGCCCGGGATGAGCGAGCACCTGGTGCTGTCGGAGAAGCACAAGACGAGGCAGGAGATTCGAGCGCTGGGAGCGCAGCTGGGCAAGGCAAACATCGCTGCCTGGGCGTCGCGCGAGGAGGAGGAGGAGGACGCTTCCAAGTGCCTCAAGAACATCGATCTGGAGGAGGTGAAGAGGAATGTGCTCGAGACGAGGGCGGCGGCGTGGGAGGAAGCGGAGAAGGCCAAGTACGAGGCAAGGTATCGCTAACTTTGATTTTCATTGTCCGCCACCTTTCTTTGTTTTTGGTTTCTTGCAGGTATAAGAGGGAGGAGTCCAAGATCGTGGCGTGGGAGAACCACGAGAAGGCCAAAGCCGAGGCCGAGATGCGTCGAATCGAGGTAAGATCTTCTTCCTTCCTCTGAGAGAAAATGCTTACTTGTTTCAAGGCGATGAGAGCTACGGTTTCTTTTCTTTTTTTTTTCCTCCTCTTGACTGGTCGTACGTAGCTAGCAAGTGCTCAAGTTTCTAGGAGTTGTTCTTCGTCTCTCTCTTTCATCGTCGAATCCTTTCTGCCTGAGTAGCGCAGAGTGATTTGATTGATCTAATTCTTTCTCTCCAGGTGAAAGTGGAGCGAATGCGATCGCACTCTCACGAGCAGCTCATGAACAAGCTGGCGATTGCGCGGCGGAGGGCCGAGGATCTGCGAGCCGCGGCCGAGTCCCGGCGAGTAGAACAGGCCGCCAAGACTGCTCAAAGAGCCGACTACATCCGGCAAACCGGGAACATGCCGGAGGCGACTTCTTCGCCTCTCTCGGCGTTTCTTCGCATCGGGCGATGGTGTTGCTGATACAAAAGAGAGAGAGAGAGAGAGTGAGAACCAAATGATCATGAAACAAAGAGGCAAGATCAGTCAATCCATCCAATCGAGACGCGTGAGACTCGAAAGAGAGAGGGAGGACAAGAAAACAAATTGAAAAGCTCGAGAGTTTAAACCGAGGTGTGATTGATGTAACTGGAGTCAGTCAGCTCTCATCGTATACCTTAATCGCAGCCGTGTTTCAAGTGAATCTAGCAGGGACAGCACATGGAATTGCGGAGCTGGGCGTTCAAACTCACGAGAAAACTAGTGTTTCCTCCGCTCCCGTGAAAGTTACAGCAGCACCGCAGCTGGGTAGTAGTGTTCCTCCACATGACGGTAAATGTATTTTAAAGCTGCTGGAGGTGATTAAAGAAAAAAAAACAACTAGTCAGCTCCAGATTTTCATTCATGAACTCGCATACCTGGCTCTCCGAGTTATAGCACTTTTGGAGGATTGGAGCTTGGAACTTCACATGTTTCAAAGTCTTCTCCTGGGGACTTGTTCCTCCACAGTGTCAGATCAGAGCCATGGGAAGTAAGGAAGTTATCTTATCTGTGCGGACTGGTCTCCCTGAGTACTAACTTCCAAGTGTGCTACGTCACAAGGACCAGCTAGCGCTGGGGACTGATTCGTTTTGGTGCTCGAGAGAACAGCAGCAGCGGCGGCAGCAGCGCCACGACAGGGGTCGTCGTCTCGTCTCTCACAGGCCGATGACGAACGAAGTATAGGGGTGCTCCTTCCGCCAATGGAGTGTAGACCGTACTTTAAAACAACTTTGAAGTCGAGCCCCGGAGCGAAATTTGCCGCTCTTTTGACCGCGTCTAGAAGCTGTTGTTGTCGTTGTTGAAAGCAAGCTGTAAGAGGGATGTTAAGACGTCGAAAGAAGGAAGGAAATGAAATGGACTGGTAGCTACGTTACCGCATAGCATTCAAGCTGGAGTGACCATTCACGTTCAGGATAAGACACCTGAAGAACAAAAGAGACACAATGGTGTGCAGCATGAGGAAAGAAGAAGAAAAATCAAGCTCAAGTGTTACCATAAATAAGAGACCACTTTGTTAAGAAAGAACCTGCCAAACTCTCCACTGTTTAAACGAACAAGCTTTCAAGTTACCTCTGGCAATTGGACCGTCTGCCGGGATATAAACTTTAGAATAATGAAACCTGCTTGCTTGCTGCATGCATGCCAGTAACTGAAATCACAGTGATCAGTCCTCACAAACTCTAACAGGCAATCTTTTTCTTTGATAATCCTTGCCAGTTCGAACGAACGAGGACGAAGCTTTACACTGCACCTGTAGTTGAGATATCGGACTTGAATCTAGCAATTGCACGCGAGTCTCTTTTATCAAGAAAAGAAAATTTTCCTTTGCATTCTCATACCTTGCTCGAGCTCTTATAGAGGGACCTGGAACTACGAAGTTCACATATCTCAAAGCCTGCTGGCTGCAACAGTGTCTTGTCCACCAGCGTTGTCAGGTACATGTCTTTGGGCAGGGAACTAGCCTTGTGTGGACTGCTCCTCCCTGTGTACTAGCTGCCAAACGTACGTCCACGGGCCAGCTGTGACTGTTTCGTTTGGTGGTGGAAAAGCTATGGTGAAAGCAGCAGCGGTAGCAAGCTCCACAGCAGTGACGACGAAGAAAGAACGACGAGGAAAGAACGACGAGGAATAAGAGTCCGTCCTTTGCCTTTCTAGGAAGCAAAGATTGCCTTCAGAGCGTCCCCAATGTAGCGGTACTTAAACTTGAAACCGAGCTCTTGAGCTCTCTTTGGTACCACTCTTTGACCGTCGAGAACCTGTTGTTGTCATTGAAAAGGTGAATCTTTAGGGGAGAGATAGATTTTACTTACCGCACTCGCACCCTCTCCAAGTACTGCTTTGAGAGCAATCTCAGGAACAGGGAGCCATGACGGACGTCCCAAGACTCTTCCCAGAGTGTCACAAATCTCGGCCATTCGGACTGGATTCGGGGCTGTCCCATTGATTACACCTGACCAAACCACAACAAACGGCGTTACATTCCGCAAGAACTTCCAAGTTACGGCTGTAAGAACTTTGCCGAGCAATCTACTGTACGAAGGTACACCACAAAGCAGCCGAATAGAAAACGATGAAACTGGTTATTTACCTTTGTAGGTTGGATTCGTTAGCGCTTCAGTTATCAGTGACACCAAATCCTCGCGATGCACCCACGAGAACCTGGCAGCGATTTCTCCACATTTAGAAGAACAAATTCAGGAGAGAAATCTCACCATTGTTTTCCAGAACCTATAGGACCGCCAGCAAAAACTTTGAATAATGGGACCATGCTTGCTGCGTGCCAATAACAGAATCAGGCAACAATAACTAAGGAACAGCCATTTTCAAATATTATACGTGCCTAGAGCGCCACCCTCCTTGTCGAGTACAATGCCAATGCGAAGGAGGACAAGCTTTACACTGCCATCAACATTGCTTGCGGCAGCTTCCCATTCCCGGCAAACCTGACAAACACACGGCAGCAGAGAAAATAAGTATGAAACAATGATTAAATTACGTATACGTACTTCGGCGAGATAATCATTTCCCGAAGGACTCGTTTCGTCATACGTAGATGTCTCGCTCGCTCCGTAGAATCCCACGGCGGAAGCACTCACTAAAACCTTGGGACGTAGTTCTTTTGGAGTAGTGTTGATGGTTTCAACAAGCTGAAAGAAAGCGTGTCTTGTTTGAAGAAGAAAAAGAGGAAGTACCTTTGTGGTGAGACTTATCCTGCTTCGTTTGATCTCGTCTTTCACCTGTAACCTTTTGAGCAAATGTGGATACAGAAAGGCTAGAGAGAAACGAACCTCCGATGTCCAGCGAGTGCTGATAGGTGTCCCAGTAAGATTGACAACTCCAGTCGATCCTGGAATGCATTTCTCCAGATCACGCTCTAAGGATATCTCAACGGTCGGATAGTCCCTTGCCGGGAAAAGATCAGCTGCCTTCGAAATGGAACGCGTAAGAACTCGGACTTTGTGTCCATCTGGAAAAACCAAGGAAAACATTATCTTCAAGGACATGTCTTCATAAAATACAACAGACCCGAAGCTAGCCTGTGTACCAATCTTCTTCCAATAAATCCCGTGGCACCTGTTATGGAGACAACCATCGTCTAGTATAGACAAACGAAGAAAATGTTTACACGCTGTACGACTAGACAACTAGAAGTACCTCAGGTGACTCTGACCGGCACGAAATGCAGAGCTTAGCTCCATGCCTCTGATGAATCGAAAGTTTGAAGCAATGCAGAAAGGATAAAGAGAGTTGCTTACCTTGACGACAATCCCCCGTGGGCTGGGAATTGTCCAGCTCGAGCGAACAAAACTGGAAGGGAAACGAACCAAACTGGCACCCTCCATCGGTTCTCCTCCACCTCCACCCACAAAATCTTAGTCCGAGAGCCCTATGGTGGAGATATAGCCAAGTGTGCGTTCACCGTTGGATCAAATCATCTTCCGCGTGAGAATGAGCGAGCAGCAGCGGCAAGGAATGGCAGCCCTCCGGCGTTCCAACGCCGCTCTCAGGCTGCTCCTGCGCTTGCAATCGGCGGCCCTGCCAGGCATTCTTCTCGACGACCCAAATCATTCCATCTCTTTCTTGGATCTGATCGATTTTCACGTTGCTTGCAGCGGAGGCGAGCAACAAGCATCGTCCGAGGCGAGAGGCACCACCAGCTCGGGTAGTTTCCAGTTTCTTGCTTCTTCTAGACTAGCTTCGCTTCGCTTGATTCTTGCAGAGCCACGATTCTGCAGCCACTGCTGAGGGGGATCCACGACGAACTTTGGTGGCGGATTGCTGCCGCATGCTGCTGTTCATGGTGACAGTCGCGGCGATCGGCTTCATTCTCCTGAAAACTTCTTCGTGCTATTTGGGGTGAGTTTTTGTACTCTCCTTCCCAGAAACAAATGCCGCACTGCATGTAATCAAAACTGCTCCAATGGCACCCTGCAATGATGGTCTCTCTCCAAGGAAAACTACCCCGAGAACGTAGCTACAGACAACCTGCGTGGAATTACAAAGAATTATACGCAGCTCAGGCTGATTTGGATGTCGTGATTTACCTTGACGTACTGCATTGATGTTGCTTTGGCTGCTTTCTCTAGCTGCAAGCCTCTGGTTAAGAATATCTGGCAAACCATACTCGTAAGAACGCAAAAATAGAGCAGCGTATCTTACTTGAGCCGCATAAGCCGAGAGGCCAACCCCACAAAGCTCCAGAGTCTCTATGACGCCGGGACGTTTCCATCCCTGCACGATTTCGTCAATTGCTTGCTAAAAGTATGACATGTTTCTTACCTGGAAGAGCATGGCAAACAAAGCCATTGGAGCTGAAAAGGCAGCAAACGCAAAAACGCAAACACTGCAGCTAAAAGTTTAGTACTTGCCTTGCACGGGAAAAACCATCACCTACGCTGGAGGCTCGCCGTGTTTTCCAACCATGCGAATGATAATATATGACAGCGCACCCGTCGAGGCTCCAACCATTGCCATAGCTACTCCCAAGCATGCATCTGTAAAAACAATTCTGTGACTTCATTAAACATTTCAAGACTCGATTCACCGACCTGTGACAAGATTTTGTGGCTGTATGACGAGCAGGACACCTAAAAAGCTGAAAAGCGTCCCTGCGTTGCCGGTCAAGTTGAAAGAAAAACAACGAGAGAAAAAGGCGTGCACTTTAGTACCTGTGATATCGTAGATTCCCCAGCTTTCATGCAGCAAAAATGTTGCTAGAATCGCCGTGAATACAGGCATGGTGAAGTTGAGAATGGTAGCGTCTCGCAGTGGAAGCACCTGTATGCTTTAGAATTTTTTTCACGCTATTTTTTCTTCCAAAAGGTCTTTCTTACCTGTAGAAATATGTAGAAAGCGCAACAAAGCCAACGATGGCACGACTGATCACCAGCTGCCTCGCTGCGGCCGATCCCAGCAGCGGATATTTCATGCGGCGGAGCTCCAGACCCGATAGCAGCGCCACGATTCCACAGCGAGCGGCCACAATTTGCGAGGATGGGAAGGATTTTACTGCGAAATCTCGAAATATCAGGACGATCATCGGTCGCTTCACTCACTCACCGGCAAGGATCTTGACAAGCAGTCCCATGACGCTGTAGGCGGCCGAAGAAATCATCATCGAGGAGACGCCGGATCGATGGCTCCAGCGGCCGCCATTGCGTCCGCCTTGCCCCATTTCGATGTCTTCCTCCTCCATAGCTAGCGCTAGGGCTCTAGCGAATATTCTTTTACCGTTTGTAAACAGCTCTAATGATACTTTTTTAAATAAAGAATATTCTCGTGGTTTAGGGTTAGGGTGAACATTCCATGGCGGGCCAGATGCGATGTTGGGAGCTTCCCGATCAGTTCGTCTTCCAGCCCCATTCCGGGCTCCCCCAGATCCTCTCGATCGATCGCGCCACTGGCAATGCGTCGCTGATCCGTAAGATTCGAGTGATTCTTCTCGAGCTAGCTTGAAATTTCTCGCGTTTTGTTTTCTTCCAGAGGAGCTGCCGGCTGCTGCTAGCGGGGGGCAGATCCATTCCTCCACTGTCTACGGTGTTCTTGGAGCTGTGAAATTGCTCACTGGTAAATCTTTGTCTAGTGTTGTCACTCTCTCGTTTGTTTATGTTTACTTCTTCCAGGAACTTATGTCCTGGTGATCACCGAAAGGGAATGCGCTGGATCTTATTCCAATTCTCCTTTATTTAAAGTCAAGTCGATGCGATTTTTTCAATGCGAGCACACTCGACACTTAAGTCCAAGCAAGGTAAAGTGAAAAACTAAACTTTGTAAAAATGTTACTCCCTTTTCCTTGTTCATACAGATAATCGAGGAGGCATATTTGCGTGGGCTTCTCAAACACATCGAACAGACGCCTGGGCTCTACTTCTCGTATGAGACCGATCTCACAAACAAGTATGCGAGTTTTTCCTTTTTGTGTTTTTCCTATTCTCTTATACCTTCCAAAAGTGCACAGCGAACGCACTTGCTAACAAACGATCATCAAAATCAACCACTTTGGAAACAGGTTTCTTTCGCGGTTGATATTCTCAGGGCTCTCTAAAGCATTATAACTTTGCAGGCTGACCCACAGTTCGTATGGAATGATCACTTGAAGGATTACTTGCTGGAATCACAGGTACTTTGTTTCTTACTTGCAACTTTTGTGTACTACTGACTAGATATAAGCAGGCAGAGGGATTTATTTTGCCGGTTATTCAAGGAAATATCCACCACTGTTGTGCAAGCTTTGCTACTTTTCTTCTTTCCTTAACTTGCTAATACGCTTTCAAAGCGTCCAGGTTTTACTGGCAGAACAGTTGTTGCAAATAACGTTGATTTCGAGGAGATCCATTCGCCGATCTGGTACTTCACTTTGTGCATTTGTTGTCTCCAGGATTTCTAGCTCTTACTTTACTTTGCTAGGGACACGAATGTGGCGCAGGGGAGCGGATCCCGAAGGCTCGGTTGCAAACTTTGTGGAAACGGAACAAATCTTGGAAGCTGGAGGATACTTTGCCTCTTATGTTCAGGTAATTTCTATTGTTGCTTCTGTATGATAAGCCTGTCAAGTGTTACGACATTGTAGGTTCGAGGATCAATCCCTGTGTTTTGGGAGCAGATAGTAGATTTAAGATATAAACCCCAAATCAGATCTATAAACCACGAAGATACGGTACGATCAATCGTTGTTCATTTTATCTCCTTGTCTCTAAAGTTTCCTCTTTTTTTATTGTCCTGCCAGTCTGCAGTAGTAGAACGACACTTCAGCGATCTCTCCGATCGATATGGATCCGTTTTAGCTGTTGATCTCATTAATCAGGTTCTTATTCTCCACCGACTTTACAACCGTGTGACTTTTCCCTTCTGGGATCTGCAGCAAGGCAGCGAGGGAGTTCTAAGCATAGCTTATCGAAACGCGATGCAACACTTGAAAAATAATAACGTGACGTACGTCGGTATGTATAGTTTCGCACGACCGCTACTAAAAAACGATTCACAGCTACGTACCTTTCGATTTTCATCACATTTGCGGAAACGTACGCTTTGACCGCTTGTCGGTCCTGCATGATCAAATTGCCGAGAATCTTATGCAGCAAAGGTAATCCTACCGCTTCCCATGTATTCTTATGTTAAATGCCATTCCAGGTTTTTCTTGGTGAATCCTATGAAAGAAAAGACCGAAGAACAGAAAGGGATCGTAAGAACCAACTGCATTGATTGTCTCGATCGGACAAACGTTACTCAGGTACCGTCAATTTGATTTTGTGCTTTGATCAGTAATAGGCTTGCCTTGCAGAGCTTGCTGGGAAGGAAAGCACTCGAGGAACAGCTCCGACGCTTGGGATTATTTCAAGCGTCGGAAACAATTGACAAGCACTACGTATTTGACTCGCAGTTCAATATATGTACGTGATAATCATCGCCTCCGCAGATTTCTAACACTACCTTGTTCAGTGTGGGCCAACCATGGAGACGAGATAAGTTACCAATACGCTGGAACTCCAGCTCTCAAGGGCGACTTTGTAAGGTGCTACATACTAGTCACAACGCATAATAGTTTGATTTTTATTTTCTTTTTCTTGTAGATATGGAAAACGCACCATAGCTGGATTGATGCAGGATGGGATCAGTGCTATCAGTCGTTACTACTTAAACAACTTCCATGATGGCCGCCGTCAGGTAACCAGTGAATGAATTCGCACTCCATATCCTCCAACTCTTTGTGACTCCAGGATGCAATGGATCTCGTAACAGGGGGCTACAAAGCCAGCGAGAGCAGCTCGCCACATCGATCAGTGATTGCCGGGATAGCTACAGTAAGTGTTGTAGCAACTCAAAATCTGATCTATCTGTTTGTCTTTGATTTTCAGTACATGCCGCTGATTGCAGCAGTGATAGTAGCCTCCATTTGTGCCACAGCCATGTCTTTGTGGAATGGTAAGGAAGATCTCCAGGTTTTCTATCTCGAGAGTGACTTACTATTTCCATTGAATAGTCTCTCGAGGCGATGGCCGTGTGATGTTCACGATGCTTTGGGCGAGTGTGACTGCAGTTCTGGGCATGGTAGTCCGAACCAATGGCCAGCAGTTGTGCTGCACACCACGCTTGAGAGGATTGAAATAGTTTTTTAATTACATTTTCTGTATGTTTTTTTTAACTTTTGAAATGGTAAAGTAGTTGGTAGGTTTAGTTAGTTTTGTTGAAATATCACTGAGTAATTTAATCTTATTTTTTTAGTAAATTTTAAAAACAAAAGAAACCCAGCTTGCTATAAAGGCAATAATTTGAAAATTTTATGACTTACTAGCTATTGCCCAATATATGTTGCCCAGTTATCAAACACTGTTTTGATTGTCATAGTTTCATTAACATTAAAAACTAAA